TCTCCATCTCCATCTCCATCTCCATCTCCATCTCCATCTCCATCTCCATCTCCATCTCCATCTCCATCTCCATCTCCATCTCCATCTCCATCTCCCTCATCTCCCCTTCTGAAACTGAAACTTGAACTGACAAAACAAATCAGATCGCCATAAACGCCAAAAACTACCCCAACTTTCACCGCTTCATAACAACCACCTCCCACGCCGTCGACCTCATCACCACCACCATGTCATTCTCCCTCAGCCGGGATGGCGGTGCCTTCGAGTGGGCTAGTACCGGATTCATGGGTCTTTTCTGCCAAGGTGCCAATCTGTATGTTTTCACCACTTGCCCGAGATCAGAGAGGGATGCTGATGAGGGAGGAATAGGTTCAAGCCGAGGGTGTATAGAATGATGTGGGACATTTTCCGATTCCACATATTCGCCAAAGACTTTCTCTCTTCGCCTTCTTCCGCCGACGAGAGTTTCAGTATTGGCGAGTACCTTGACAAAGAGCAATACAGCCAAGCTTTCAAAGAAGATTACTTGCTCGTACGTCCCGCTTTCCTCATCCTTCCGTCAGACAAATGAAGCTGACACTGCTAAAAGCCGCTTACCGCCGGTATATGGTCCATTCCTCCAGACAAAGTAGCGCTCGACTTCCCCGCCCTCGCCCTGATCCGTTTCTTCCACAACCACCAAATGCTCCAACTCTGGGGCCGCCCCGCTTGGCTGACTGTCAAAGGCGGATCCGCCCGTTACGTCGAAAAGATCATAGAGAGGACTGAGGTGGGGAGGCTGCATTTGGGGGAGGGGGTGCAGAGGGTTGTGCCGAGGGGGGATGGGAGGTTTGGGGTGGTGGAAGAGGGAGGGGAGGAGGTGGTTTATGATAAAGTCATCCTCGCGTACGTCCTCTCCCCTCTTCTTGAAACGAAACTCATTTCCCGCAAATCAGAACCCACACAGATCAAGCCGTCCAGCTGCTCGGCGAGAATATAAGCGAGGAAGAGAAAGAAGTCTTGGGTGGGTGTGAGTGGAGTCCGAATGAGGCTGTTGTGCATTATGATGAAGCTGTAAGTTTCTTCATCCTCTGGCTTTGGGGTATGTGAGTAAAAGCTAATGGGGAGAGTAGTTGATGCCTGTGAGGAAAAGCGCCTGGACTGGTAAGTGTTCCCAGGAAGAGATGGGAGGGAGACTAATGAAGGGTTGATAGCGTGGAATTACCTCACGTCGACGACGAACGCTGTTGAGCCGGGCCACGAATCCAAGACGACCGCTTCGGACGTCAGCACCATCTCCATGTGAGTTTCTCTTTCACTACTAGTCGGACCGTATTGATGAAAAAACGCAGCACATTCGACCTGAACGTCCTCCAGTCCCTCCCCATCGCCAAACACGGCCACATCTTTGTAACCCTCAACCCTCCCACTCCACCATCGCCCTCCAAAACACTCTCCCGATGGGTATACCACCACCCCCTCCTCACCCCTTCTTTGCTTTCAGCGCAAAAGCGATTACCATCCATCCAAGGTGTTCGCGGGCTGTACTTTGCAGGCGCCTGGACGGGGTATGGGTTCCATGAAGATGGGTGGCGTACTGGGATGGAGATTGCGTACCGCCCGGAGTTTGGGATACCTAAACCAAAGAGGCCATGGGAGATTGTCAAGGTTGACGGTCGGGATATCAAGAGAGAAGCGGGGGAGTGGCTCTTGAGACCGCTGGTCGGTGGGATCGACTCGGCGTTCAAAGGGTTTGCGGGGTGGATGTGGTGGAGTGCGGGGATGTATGTTTCTGTGATTCATAGGTTGTTTGGGGCGAAGATGAAGAGTGCTTAGAGTTGGCTATACTGTTTACCTGTGCTATGCTGTCTAGATGTGTTGATCCATGAACTGTTGTCCTTCTGCCACTCTCGGCGGTCTCCGCCGTGCTCTTTCTGCGCGCATCTCCCCTTTCATTGCCTCTTCTCTACTTTTCACCCCATGCCGCCCCCGAACCCAGCCCCCCTCGACCCCTTCCCGCCCCTCTCCCGCTCAGCCCCCGCCCAGCCATCCCGTGCCTCGTACGCTTCCATCCTCCGCGGCACCTCCCCAGCTGGCGAAGACGACATCGACCGCCAAGACGTGCTCGACGACCTGAACGACTACCACCGCCCCCCGCCTCCCCCCATGCCCCCTCGCCACAGCTCAAACCCTAGCGCGGGGCCTAGTATACTGTCCACCCCGAGTTCGGGGGTGGCGCAGGGCAGGTCGGTGGCGCAGGGGGCGCGTAACCCACCGCACCAGAGCTTGACGCCGACTTCGACTTCGGGGGCTGTACCGCCTACCAACCTCAGCCCGCCGACGCCTTCGCCCACGCGTGCTGCGCGCGCGGCTAGGCGGGCGGCCGAAGCGGGTGCTGTTGGACAAGATGGAGGAGGGGAAAGTGGAAGCTCGTTCACTTTGGAGGACATGTTGGGAAATGTACCCCCTCCTGAGGTGTTTCAAGTCGGAGGGAGGAGAGGGGGGAGTGTGGGGACGCAGAGGGCGGCGAGGACGAGTTTTCCTGCTTTGGTGAACCCCAGTGGGGAGAGGGCGGGCGAGGGGCTCCTGAGGCTGGTCTCGGACCTGCACAGTACGTCTCTCCTACCATTCTCTTGTGGCGTACTGACTTGTATAGATGCTCGTCAACGCAACACAACCTCCTCAGACAACCTGCCTTCCCGGCGATACAGCGCTCGCCCCATAATCCCCCTCAACCTGAGTGACTCGGACGAATCAATGACCGAGGGCGAGGACGACGCCCCCGCGGCCTCTGCCATCCGTACCCGTCTTGCAAGACCATCAGGCATGGGAGGCGGAGGACGTGGGAGAAACGGAGGAGGCGATCACGACAACCTCGAAGAATGGCTCGATGCGTCGATTTTCAACGAGTCTCGGCTCCTCGACGAGATGCGCGCCAACCCCCTTGGACGAGATGGACGTGAGAGGGACGCCGAGAGGCAGGGGGACGAAGGGGCCCACCTGCATCGGGGAGGCAACAACAGACGGCGCGAGTATCTCGAATGGATGGACCACATCGGCGACTTGAGGCACTCTCTCCCTCATCCACCATTGCCACCTCGCGCAGAGGGGCTGCAGCCGACCAACACCGACCTCGCTGCCGTCTCCCAACCATACCTCGTCAGTCTCACGGGTACCCGACGTGAACGCTCCTCCAGCTCTTCCACCCCACGCAAACGCCCCCGTCCCTCCTCCCCACCACCGCACCGCGCCTCCTATTTCTCCCACTCCACCCTCCCCTCCTCCACCCCTCTCCCTTCCTCCTTCGTCCCCCCGCTCACCCGCTCCCACCTGACACTCACAACCCACATCTCCCCATCCTACGGCCCCGCCCCACTCATCACCTTCAAAGGCCACCACCCCACGCGCGAAGACGCCGACGCCACAGCACTCTTGACCGAACAGCCCATCCCCCTTGCTGCTGGGATCCACTACTATGAAGCTGAAGTGCTGTCGCAAGGGGAAGAAGGGTACATGTCGGTGGGGTGGATGGTAAAAGGAAGGAATTTGAGGCGGTTGGTGGGGTGGACGGCGGGGACGTGGGGGTGGCATGGGGATGATGGGATGTTGTTCCGAGGACAGGGCGCGGGGGAGCCGTTCAGCGAGGGATGGGGAGAAGGAGATACAGTGGGATGTGGGGTTGATTATATCAAGAAGACTGCATTCTTTACTAAAAATGGGCGTTTGATGGGTACGTTTTTTCATACTTTTAAGGGCAAGAGCTGATGTGCAGTAGGTACAAAACAGATCGACCTTCCCTCTGAACTTCACCCCGCCGTAGGCCTGCGGACGGTAGGCGAGAGCATCGCCGTCAACTTTTCTGGTCCTTTCAAATATGACATTGACAGTCGTGTCCGGGATGCCAAGGAAGAAGTGATCAGAGAGGTCGAGGGGACCGAGGTGGCGAACGTTGTAAGGGTGGTAGACCAGCTACCTCGCCCGATAGCGTCGCCGTCTAAAGCAGTACAAGAAGAGAACATGGACATCGACCTCCCCCCAAGCCCATCTCACAAAGGCAAATCAAAAGCCTCGCCCACTCCCACCCCCTCCCCTCTCGGCGCACCCTCTCTCACACCGCTCGACCCGTCCGAAAAAGTTTCAGCCGCTTTCGTGCTCGACCACCTTTTACATCACGGACATGATCGGGCAGCGGCAATGTTGCGTCAAGGGATGGCTAGGCGGAAGGTGATGCCGGGGATGAGGCCGAAAGAAGAAGGGTTTGCCGAAAAGTCTGCAAAAGTCCCGAGCTTTGGGTCTGTACAAGAAGGCAAACCCCCCGCCCTCTCGGACTTTCCATCGACACTCTCAGCTGCGCACTTTGTCGCTTCACTCATCCGTACACCGTTTGACCATTCCCTGTTCAACACTTTCTGGCGCGATCTCCTAGATCAGGGCCCTGTGTCGGACACCAGGTATGGCTTGGAGTGGAGAGGGCTGCTTTGGCAGTTCTTGTTTGTCACCACAAACGGCGGGGGGGTAGTAGACGAAGACTCCGCCCCTAGTACCTCGTCCTTCCCAACTATCAACTACATCAACTCTTCCAACACCGACCCCGACCCCGACTCCGCCTCCCTCTCCCTGGGCCTCAAACTCTCCTCCCTCATCGACCACCACAAACTCCCCCGCGCCGACGTAGCCGTCGTAAAAGAAGCTTTTGGGGCACTAGCGAATCCGGGCGGGGAGGGGTGGAAGTCGGGGGAGAGGTGGAGGGGCTGGAGGGAGAAGTTTGCTGATGATTATGTTGCTTGGGTTCGCCGTGAGTCTTTGTCCGGGTGACTTGAAAATTGAAAGCAGAGCTGATGAGATTTTCAGAGACGAGTAATGCGAAAGCGCAGAGTCATCTCGAAGCTGCCATAGGCCAGACACAAGCGGTATTACGGACATTAGCACAAAACCAAGGAAAGACTGGAGCGGCGTTCGTGAGCGTGGCCGACGTGCTCTGAGTGCGGACGTTTTCTCTTGAACGGATTGACAGTAGTTTTTGTGGCATAGAATGTGGAATCATAATTGTATATGTAGCTCTTAGTATATGTATAGGTTCTCTCCGGGGAATAGGGTGTATCTTGATGTCGTGACGGGGTATACAGCCGTGAGAGGGGAGAAGATGGATCCTAGGAGGCCGAGGCCGAGGACTGTGCCGAGGGTGGCGGTGAGGGGGTCGAATGTAATGTTGGAGGAGGATCGAGAGGAGGATGACGAGGAGCGGGAGCGATGGCGATGGTGGTGGTGGTGATGACGGGGCGGAGGGTAAGGGGAGTCGTCGGTATAGGTAGAACGATCATCTCGTCCATGGTTATCCTCCCTTGCACTGCTGGCATCGTCATCCCGATCCATGTTTCGACGGCTCCTTCTTTTCCTATGCGCATCCGTCCCCCGGTCATCGGATTCATAATCAACAGATCCTTCTTTTTCATACTCCATACGAGGTGCAGAAGAAAAAGACGAGGCAGACCGGTCAAGAGCATCAAGCGCTCTCGAAAGATGTTCGTACGCCTCAAGGTTGTTTGATGCCTTAGCTTCGGAGAGGGCTGATTCGATGTGGGATCTGGCTAAGACATGTCGAGAGCCGTATGTCTTGCAAGAGCAGGGGGTATAGTCTGAAGATGTATGTGTGACAATGAAAGCTCGCAGGGACGGACTTTGAAACGGCGCGGTCGTGGGGATGACAAAGGGTGAGACGTGACGCGAGTATATTGAAAAATAAGTAGGTAACGCAAGTGTGGGGCATGTTCGATCAACCATCTGTAGCGCCCAACTTGCCACGCATGGGAGTTATCTGCACTGATAGTAATTCCCAACAAGAACGTTACATGAACCTCAAACAGAGCTCGAGCTCCTCCAATCTCACCGCCCACCCTCTCCGTTTTCTTCTTCCGAGTCGGGTATCTTACTTTTGCGTGTGCGTCGGGGCGACCGCTATTGGGGTATATGACAAACAAGAGACAACTACCGTCCATCAAACATCGAACTTCCTCCGTTTTTGATCGCGGCCTTTTCGGTTTTGTCGACACAAGGAGAAGGAAGGCGAAATTAAATGAGGTTGCCAGCAACCTGCTTGACAGCCGCACCAAACCCTCCCGTCGAGCCGAACCCACCAGACCCGCGGGCAGTCGCATCCAGATCCTGCTCCCCATCAGCCCATTTCCCTTCCTCTCCATCCCCCATTCCATCCTCAACCAAAAAGAAGAGAGATACTCACATCAACCTCCTGCACCTCCGCCAAAATGATCCTCTCCAAAATCAACTGCGCCACCCGATCCCCCCTCTTCACCTCAAAGTCCTTCTCTGAGAGGTTGAACAAGAGCACCATGACGGGGCCTCTATAGTCTGCGTCAATGACGCCGGCGCCGGTGTCGATGTGGTGTTTGGCAGCTGCCCCATTATATTAGCTCTTACTCAAACGGGATGGGGAAGAGGAAGGGGAAGGGAAGGGGAACATGACGTACCAAGACCACTTCTAGGGGCGATCCTCCCATACGTCCCCTCGGGTACGGCGATGCTCAACTGCAAGTCCACCAACTCCTTCCCCCTCGCGGGGATGAGCTTGTCCTCCGCCGCATAGAGGTCATAGCCTGCAGAGAGAGGAGAACCTCGAGTAGGGGTGGTAGCGGCCGACGAAAGTTTTTTGATCAGAAGCGTGTTGGTAGGCTTCCGATTACATCAGTATGCCTGCCTTCCCATGAGATGAGATGAGAACGTACCGCAGCAACACCATTCTCCCCATTTTCCCCACCAACACTCAACCCCTTAAAGCTCTCCTGCACAGACCCCACACTCCCCTTCTTCCCCGCCTTTTCATCTTCACTATCACTCTCAGCAGCTTGCGGGATATCGAGCGAACGGGCAGTGACCTCCGGGACAGAGTCGATCTGTTTCTTCACCTCCACAGGCGTGGGCTTCGATTCCTCTTTTACAGGCGCCGGCGCGGGGGCTGGGGTGGCGGCAGGCGCGGGGGTCGGCGGGGTAAGAGTCGACTTGGGCTCTTCCTTCTTCGGCACTGGGGACGCAGCACGAGCGGGGGTAGAAGCAGACGTAGGGGTAGGAATAGGAGCAGTATTCGCCGTCGTCCCTCCCGTTTCGAGATCAACCACCTTTGGCCTACTCGTCTTGCCTGCGAAAAAGTCGGCAGCGTTTTGGGCAGCTTCGATAGAGTTTGCTTCGGGGTAGATACTATAATCATCCTGTCAGTTGCCGTGCCAAGTTCAAGTGAAGAGGGAGAGGGAGAAGGGGAGAAGGAGGACGTACTCGGCCTGGAAACTGTCCGCCTTCCTCGGCACGATAAAACTAAGCGGCTCGACACATCCTCCAGCAAGCTTGTAGGCACGCGCGATTTCGTTCTCGTTCGTATCGAGCGCTCGGCGGGGGATGAGGGTCATACCGCGTTCTGCTCCGTGTTAGCTTCTACTATCATCACCCTAACCCGAAAGAGGGAGGGATAAAGGGGAGGGGAGAGGGAGGAGAGGGTGAGGGGACGTACGAGGGTCGGTAGTCTTGTATTCGGAGAGGAAGTGGAAGCTGTCGTTGTCGTACTCAAAGTATCGGATGTTACCGTCTCTGCCATACAGTCAGCTTTGCACACCAGGACATCATATCGCGTACCCTTTACCAGCGAGGAAGAGGACGTCGTTGCCCTCGGCAAAGAAGGGCATCATGACACCGCTGCATGAAGATCAGTATCAAGCGTGCAAGCATTCCAGAAGTGACGTACGCGCTAGTGTCGATCGACTCGGTGCTGATGTTGGTAAGGCTAGAAGTATCCCAAAGCCCAAGTTGTCTATCCGACATCTTGCTAAACTGCCCAAACCGTCAGTCCAACACTCCACCAATCCCAAATAAACTCACCCCAGTGGTAGCGATCCTATCCCTATCACCCAGCCACACCACCCTCGAACCCTTCACACCAGCATGCCCATCCGTAATCCTGACCGCCTCCTTCCCCGCCCTGGGATCAAACAATCTCAACTTCTTATCCCTACAAGTAGTCGCCAGAGTGGTACCGATGGCGTTCCAAGCGATGGACTGGATACCGTCCTTGTGGCCTTCGAGGATGATCTCGGGGTTGGGAGAGGAAGATCCAATGTCCCAGAGGCGGACGAGGTGGTCGCCTGAGGCGGAAGTGAGGACGTTGGAGGAGGTGGGGTGGAAGATGACCTGGCCGACTTTTCTGCATTGACTCGTCAGTTTGGCATGTCAGATGGGCAGTGTATGTGAGAGTGACGTACCGGCCTCCGGCACTGAACTTGGCAGCAGGGCTGAGATCTTTGGGCTCCCAGTGGTCCTCTCCCCAGCCCTCAAAGAGCGAGTCCTCGACTTTCCAGACAAAGACTGTAGATAATCAGCCCTGACCCCTTACGCCATCCCCGCCGCGACCGATCCCTTGCTGTTTTTGTCTCCTAGCGTGCTCCATCGGAAATAACAGACTACTCACTCTTGCCATCTTCTCCAGCACTCGCAACAACATTGTCGTCAAAAGGATTCCACGCGGTATCCAACACCGCGGCAGTATGCCCCCGCGCAAGAGGGACGATATCCGGGAGCTTGGTCGGGAATCCCTCCGGCTTGGGGGGTGTGACAGGCGAGAAGAGCGGGAGCACAACAAAAGCTCCACCGCCGGATGCCTGCCAGTTGACAGAGAGGTACTTGCCCCCGGCCGCGACGAGGTCTGTGTCCCAGGCTGAGCCGGAGATCTTGACGTTCTCGTAGTTGACCTTGGATTTGCTGCCGTAGACGTGGCGGTACTTGGAGGGGCGGACGAAGCGGGACATGGCGGGGATGTATAGGGGATGAAGAGGTGAAGAGATGCAAGAGGAGATGGGCGCTATTGGTCGTGGAGATGGCGTCGGCGCTTCGGCTCTCCCACGGTCGACAATCAGGGTTCGTACGTACGGTATGAGACCCTCGTTAGCGATGTCGTCTGTTCGCCGCTCATAAGTCATACTCTTTGTCTTTTGCATCTCTTCAATACTGTCCAGCAAGTAAGCAATACTCACCTTTTCATGGTCGGCACCAACTCAAAGCAAAACACAGGGGAAGAGGAGGGTCTGTTGAGTGGTGATTGGACCGAGGGTTATCGTAACCCAAACGTAATAATCACAGATGGGCAGCGTGGCAACAAAAGAGAAAGGGGTGAAGGTGAGTACCCGATGATTTGAACATGCAAAGATATACTGACGAATAGCCAGTCGGGCGTGGCCTCAGATCACAAGTCGCCGACTCTCAAGATGACGATAGAAAAGCATACACTCCCGTCCAGGTCGACCCTCCCTCTCTCACTCCCGGCGCCCCCTCTGGCAGCGCCTACCCGCCTCCTGCTACTACCGAGCAGATGATCAGCCAATGGGTCGATGCCCAGGTCACCTACTCCGAGATCTGGCCCTCTCGCCAGCGCGTCATCTACGCCGTCCTATCACTGTACTGCATCATCGCAGAGATTGCTTCAGCGGTCACACTTGGGGAGTGGGGCTGGGGTGTGTTTCTCTTGTGGATTGCTACCTCGCTGTTATTCCTCTGGAGGCACCGCGGGGTCATGAAGGGGAGAGCAGCAGCGCTAGAATCTGTCAACCTTGTCGCCGAGAGGATGCGTTCTTTGATGTACACCGCTGAGGAGAGTCGGGATATCCAGATCCTCGAATTTTTGGAAATTAAATCTTTCCTCTCGAAGCTGATACCGCACAAAACTGACCTTTCATCAGACAAATACATCTCACCTCCACCTTTCTCACCGATACCCCCATCAATATTCCTTTTCGCCAACAACCACAAATGTCAATCTGACGCAGCAGTCGGATTGGGCATTTCCATCTTACCCTTCTTCGCGGTCTTCACATTCCAACTGGGCCTCATATTGGGCAATCTTCATGGAGAAGACGGCATCGGGGTCGCTATCATCATCGGTTTCATTTCGGAACTTATCCTCATCTTTTCCTTGCTCCAATACGTCTACCACGATCCTCATGGTCACCTGTGCGGAGGGCTGGACAAGGACGGGGCGAAGCTACAATGGGCGTGGCACAAGAAGCACTTCCAATGGTGGGGCACCAAGGCAGTCAAAGATGTCTTGCAGCCGGACGCTATCTCTTCGCTCAAGAAAGCTACCGCACCACACAACGAGTCAAACCCTTCATCTTCTACCACCACCGCACCAGCTGGATATGTTTCGTCACTCTCCATCGACGGTAAGTCCCTCTTCCTCTTCCTCTTTCCTTCTTTGCACAAATGCACAAAGGGCTGATGTTTATCTAGTACTACTGCAAGAGCTGCAAAAGAGGATGGAAGACGGGAACGTCGTCGCCGAGCTTCAGAGAAGGATGAACGAAGGCGATGTGGCTCGGAGGGCTTACATGGCGTTATCTGGTACCAATAGTAATCAATCTCCTCCCTCCTATGTCTGAACAGTGGCAGAAGACTGGAGGCGAAAGTATATGCGATTATAATTCTGCTTCCGACTCTGACTCTCCCTCCCCCCCGGCCACGACGAGGTCTATGTTCGAGCCTGAGCCGAAGCTTTTGACATTTCGGTGGTTGATCATGGATTCGCTACCGTGAACGCGGCGGTCTTTGTGGATAAGTGTCACTCAACGTGAAAACAAAGTTGGCGCAACAAATACGTGTCACTATCTTGGGAACAGTTATTGCTATTATGATGGTGTGTGATTGTGTATCTATGCCATTTCTCCTGTCACCTTTCTACTGATCCTTTGTAAGTTTTTTTTTTTTCTGTGAGAGCCTCTTTACTCCTATCTGATTGTTTGTCACATCATACTGCGTTCTTCTGTTGCGTCGACGATACAGCACTTGCCACTTGCCTCTACTCCCATCTCAACGTACCCCAAACCACCAGCGCTCAGTTCATAAGATCACCATGTCTGAGGCCTACCAAAAAGACGCAAACCCGATCGACCCATCTGTCGAGGACGACCGCTCAAACCCCGCGGAGGACGGTCGTTCGGCCGACGCCGATCCCAACAAGGAGACAGAGCCTGATGATCCGTTTCTGAGTACGATCCCATCCGGCTCCTGGAGTCGGATCACCTTTGAAAAGACGGGCGGACATCTGGTCCTTCCTTCCCGCCATGCTATGGGCTCTCTTATATCAAGAATGGCGCCCCTGGAGGCCAGAACTCGGAGACGGGCGCGCATTATCTGGAGCTGGGTAAATACAATGGTAACGAGTGGGCTAGCACCTGGGGAGACGCCCCAGGTCTCAAGATCGACAGCGAGTGGTCGGCAAGCGATATGCGTACTCAGGTAAGAAGAGTCCATACACCAACATTTCAGTCTTGTTCTGTAGAGATCGGCAAGCTGATCTTTCCGCTAGCTGGATATGTATATGAGGAGAGGATGATCTTTCGCATATGTTGGTATGATGCTCTAATCTCGGACCATCGTATCGTACTAGCTCGGGGAGAAGTGTCATCACATCGCATATGTTATGAATCCTTTGTGACGACGGGATGATATGCGACTGCATCCTTTCATTGGAACATCACTTTAGCTTCTTCTGAATAATGCTTCCTACCCATTTCCAACATCAATAGCTGAAGTCAGTCATCGCGGGCGTGGACAAAATGCAACGTAGTAAGACGTAAGATTCTTCCCTATCTAGCCGAAGCTGAACAGCTCCGCATACTATATACCTGCGACAGTAAATAGCATAGTCATATGGTAAGCGTTTTGCTGTCCAAGTATATAGGTGGTGCCATAGAAGAAGTGCGGCAGAGGACAAGATCGAAGGTCGCCCCTTCTTTACCAACGAACAACGAATAATAAGTAATGCCAAGACATGCATCGGCCATGGCCGCCTTCTTTCACCGACGCGACGGAAGCCCGAGCCATCGTCCTCTTCTTTCATCGTGTATCTCTATACATTCGGCCTACTACGATATGGGCACAAGCGCCACCCCAACAACTGGACAGAGACTCGACAAGGAGACGGAAGATGTCGTCAACGCGGGGGAGAGGGCAGATGGAGTTCTCAGTGAGTCATGGCCAGGGTGCTTGGCACTGCCACTTACATCTCGTGCTTCTTTTCAGCAGTCCAAGAAGATGGTGACATCCCTGACCACACTTCGGATCACAAGAATCATGAGATCACCGACTCACCTTCACTCTCCCCTGGAAAGGCCTCGCCAGCAGCGCCATCAAAGCCAGACGACAAATACACCCACTGGGCCTCCATCCAAATCTCCCACGCAAAGTCCCTTCACACCCGACCCTCTCACATCTCCATCATCCTCACTTCCTACTGTCTCATTGCGCAATCCGCCTCATTATACTTGGGCGGAGGCTGGCTTTGGTGGATGGCTGTTCCTCTTGCGGTAGTCGGTCTGGTGACTATCGGTCAAAGAGCCGAGGCGAACGAAGAATGTGTGGATCTGGTCAGGCGTTGCGAAGAACGAATGAGGTTTTGGGCCGAGGAAGAGAAACAGGAGGCAGTCGATACCGAGTTTCTAAGTTTTCTGAACGGTGAGTTCCGACCACATGCTCGTCTCTTTCAGAAGCTGATCCAACCCGCCCAGACTCCAAATCCCCTCCGTCATTCCAACCAATACCATCTTCCATCCTCCTCTTCCCCTACGAAAAAGGCGCCATACCAGGCTCTTGCATGTCTCTCTTCATCTTCTCCCTCGTCTACCTCTTCGCCTTCTACTCCGGCTTCAACGGCGTTCTGTTCCACGTCGGCGGGTTCGGGACTTTCCTCTCAACCTTCCGGCTTCGCATCCTTTTTGGCGCTTTGTCGATGATGGGGCCGCTGATCTGGTATCTCGTCTACTACAATCGCGCCTCCGCAACCACGAGGCTGGACATTGAAGGGGCGAGGTACAGATGGGCTTGGCACAAGGAGCATATGGGGGCCGAAGGGGTGAAGGCTTTGGAGGAGATTTTGCCGGGAGAGCAGGTCGATTATCTTCGGCGGTTTTTTGTAGGAGAGAGTGATCGGGGAGAATGAAAGTCTGGTGCCATTCTATTTCTCTTTGTGTTGACAGACAACAGCGGTTGCCGTTTCTTGATATCAAATGCATCTTGTTCATACGATCTCAGCTCGCATTGGTGAGTCACATGGGGACTGATTGGTATCATCACCATCACTAGTAGCTGCTCCCACCCCCTGGAAAGTTTCAGAAGATCAGATGCTAGAGGACATGAGCGCATGGCGGGCCTTCCCGCGATTGACGACTTCAAGACGACTTCCACCGTGACTGAACAAGCGGGAAGCCATTCACTTATTCCTCGTAATTTCTATTCCTTTCCGCGGTCTGCATCTCACCAATCCTATACCGCTACCGAGCCCCCGTCCTTCCGAAATGGTCAGCACCAAATCAAAGGAGCAGGGAACAGAACAAGAAGAGGAAGGTCTGTTGAGCAGGAACTCAGCGGACACCCAATTGAAGGCGAACGACGATGGTCGGGCGGAATGTGAGTACAATATTGCACCTATGTGGGAGCCGCCACTGACGATCATTCAGCTCAATACACCCCCAAGTCATCTGGCAGCAAGATCCAACAAGTTACTGGCAAGTATAACGCACTTGCTCAGGTCCCACCCCTCACTTCCAATCCTCGTCCCGCCTCTACAAGTCTAAGCCCCTCCCAGCCATGCTCTCCCTTGACTACCTACAATCAAATGATCGATCAATGGGTCGATGCCCAAGCGGCATACACGGGCACTTGGCGATCTCGCTATCCGGTCATGTACGCCATCCTGACTGTATACTGCATCATTCCTGAGGTCGTGTCGTTGGCCTGCCATAATGGTTGGATGTGGGGTATTTTCATCGTGTGGATCTGTCTCACCCTCATACCTGGGACACTCTACTTTGTCTCAAAAGCAGCAGCATTGAAGAATGTCGAGCTTGTTGGGAAACAAATGAGATTACTGCTTGCTGCTAATGTCGAGTACCATGATCTCTCGATCCTCAACTTCCTTGATGGTAAGTCTACCATAGCCCCTCAACGCAGGTCACATCGATGACACTATCGCAGATGATACTATCCATCCTCCCCCGTTTTCCCCGATACCTCCGTCAATTCTCATCTTTGCCCACGATTGGTATTCAAAAGAATCTGCAAATTTTTGGGCAGCGTACTTTTTCTTCTGTGGGTACCTTATGTGCCTCTTCCTTGGTTCGGTTGACATACTCGACGATCTCGACGAAAGTGGTGGACTCGGCTGGGCCATTTGTGGGGTGCATCTCATCCTGATAACTCTCCTCTGGACTTACGCCGCCTACGACCCATACAGCCATCTGCGTGGCAAAGTAGATGGGCAAGGTGCCAAACGGCGATGGGCATGGCACAAAAAACACTTTCATTCGTGGGGCATCAAGGCCGTCCAAGATGTCTTGAAACCAGACGATATATCTGAGCTCAAAGAAGCTGCCCAGCTCCCCCAGACAAACAACACCCCGGCCAGATACACCATTCCTCGTGTTGTTACAGTACCGGCGCCTGCAAATGCTTCTACACTCTCCACCAATGGTAAGCTCCTTGCATCTTCAACGAGATCAGAGGAGGCTGACGTGCGTCTAGCACTACTCCAAGAGCTGCAGCGGAGGGCGAATGGTGACAATTTGCTCGAGGAACTTCAGCAGAGGATGAGTGCAGGCGATGCGGCTCGGGCGGCGTATGTGGCTCTGCTCGGTCCTAGACGCGAAGTCGACCCTCCTTCTTATGTTTGAAACGTCAGCTTTGATTCTATGTAATGGATACGTAAGGTTCCATACTACAACACCCTCTTACCCCCTACCCCGGGATGAAATGAGGGTGCGTCTCCAACAGCTTATTCCATGCATTTTGTTCTATACTCTCTCAAGTCTTTCTTTGATAGACGTGAGACCCTTGAAACACTCCGCGTCCAGCAACCCAAACCTTCCACCGCCCCTTTTCGTTCTGTCCATCCCTCGCGCGAGGACGAAACACCACAAGCTCACTTTCCATTCCCAGCAATACTAATCCCTCGTCAGCACCCTCTCCCCGTGAGATCAACAAAAGAAGAAAGAAGAACAAAACTCACATATCCGCAAACAGCTTCCAAAGCACACTAAACAACAACCCCTGCAACCCATTCGTAATCAACCTCGTCCCCAATCCCCTCCCAAATAAGCCCCACAACCCTTCAGCTGCCACCACCTCCCTCGCCGCTTGCACATACCCCACATCCCCTGGGTGTGTTTGGCGATATGTCTTGAGGACGCGGAGCGAGTTGGAGGAGGTGTCGGATACGAGGGAAGCGGAGAAGCCTATGAAGGCTTGACGGATGAGTTTTTGGGGGAGGGTGGTGGGGAGGGGGAGGTGGGTGGATAGGTAGTTGTAGGTGCCGAACCAGGGATCTAACTCTTATCAGCTCTTTCTCACATTCCTTTGGCACAAGGAAAGAAGAAGAAGGATAGACTCACAATGCCCAACAAAAGTAGCAGCAGCAGTAGCCCCAGCCCCCCACCACAAACTCCCCACCCCCCTCTCCCTCACCCTCTCCCTTACCAGTCCCCACCCTGCCTTCCCCCCTTGAGTCTGCTGCGTCGTCTTGATGGTATCAATCGGCGTTAGGAGCATACGGAAGCAGGCGGAGGCGAGGGAGGCGGCGATGGTTTTGAGGAGGATGGGCCAGGGGAGGGTGGAGAGGAGGGCGAGGATTCCGGCGTTGGCTGCTGTATCGCCGAAGCGGGAGAGGGGGCCTTGAAATCTGAACATCTGTCAACATTCTCTTCTTCTCTTTCTTTCCTTCTTCCTCTTCATCTCTCGCTGTCCCTCTGAATCTGGGCAGGGGAAAAGCGAAGAGGAAGAATGGATACTCACAAAGCAGCCGCCAGCCCCGCATAATACCTCTTCAACCCCCCATCTTCATAAAGCGTCTTCGTAGCATGCTTGATCCCCCCACCAAACCTATACTGATAATTCATAACAGTCCTCATCGGCATCAACGTCAACACCTGCACCACCATCGCCGCTGCGCCCGCGACCCCCCCGCCCGCAGCAGACTTGAGAGCGGAGAGGAGGTCAAAGTTGAGGTCGTAGGAGATGCCGTGGGCGGGGATGGCGAGGGCGAGGGTGAGGGGGAGGGAGGAGAGAAGGGATGTTAGGGAGGTGTGGAAGAGGGAGGAGGATTTGAATGGGGTGAGGGGGGAGGGGGAGGGGATGAGGGGCGGGGTGATGACTGTTAGTGCCAACACGAACGACTTTATGCATTCAATCAGCCACCCATCATCTTGAGGAGGATCGGAGAAAGAGAGAGAGAGGAGACGTACGAAAGCAGGATCCTGCAAAAACACTTTTGTAGAAGGAATATGCCTCAACCCTTTCACGATCGGCAGCGTAATAGCAGGTATCGCAGCATACCTCCAAGCCGAAAGTATGAGCACCGTACCCAACGTCGGCGGGACCGGTTCTTCTTCCGACCTGTCCACCCGGGTCCAAGTCAGCATTTGTATTTCGCGAAGGGAGTGAGGGGGTGGGGTGACTTGCGAAACTTGATGCCCAGCTCGAACGGTTACGCCAGAAGTGAAAACATCAAAAAGGGGATAGAACTGGCCCAAAGCGACGAGACCGCTGCCGATCCCAAGCCACAACCACGTCCCATCCCCTTCCCCAGCTCCTCCCGCGCCGACCCCAGTGATGCCCCGCTGCAAAGGCTTCACAAGCCCCACTGCCAACCCCACCACCGCAGCGAGGACGATCGGCGAGCGGAGGATGAGCTTGAAAGATGTTTTGGGGCCTGTCTCCAGCGAGGTGGAGGGGGAAGGGGAAGGGGAAGGATGGGAGAGGAGAGAGGTGCGTTCGGTAGCTTCTTCTTCCTCTGTAGATTCTCCGGCCGGGAGGGGTATGTATCGGTCTGCTGGTTCGTCTATGAGAGGTGGGGAGGTGTAGCGGGATACGACAGGTTTCAGAAGGTTCCTACCATCCAATTCAGCCACGGCACCACAGCAAAGATGTGAGAGAGATGAAACTCACCTGAACACGTTCGTAATCAAGATATTAATCAAGATATACAAAGACGCCCTTTCCAAGACATGGAGATTCGTATCCCTAATCCTCCAATGAAGATGACCCAGCCCCCCCTCCGGCGAAACTTTGTATAACGCCCAAAGCACCAGCAGTGGGTACGACGATACACTTTACCACCCAAAAGTCAGCTTGCCACAAAAGGAGCCATGAGAGAAAAAGGGGACGTACTTGTTGAATGTCAAAGCCTCAACAGTCCATTCTGGAGTTTTGAAGTAGTTGTGGATACCTATAGAGATGGCTAATGAGGCTATGTGAGTGGTGAGGGCGATGATCGCCAGGGGCCAGGCTGCCAGACCAGTCAGCTTGTACGCTTGTTCGGGCGGCGTAACGTACACTGGAGGAGGGTCTTCCATGTCAGAGTGGAAGACGCGGCTAGTCCTGTGAGGAGCAAGAGGGGCAGGAGCAAGCCTTTGTTGATGTTTGACAGATTCTACTCCAGATCAGCTCCAGATCACGATCGGACTCTGGTACGAGAGACATACCTTGCTAAGCGCCGGCAGATGTCTGCCATTATACGCATATCCCCCAAGAAACACGACATTGACGGCGAGCACCGCCTGGAATACTGTGGTGAGCACGTCCACGAACGACTCCATTTTGCTTTGTACAGAGAAGAGAGGAGAGATGTGACGAGCTCTGATGCATCGGCTTTCCCCGTCCCCTTCGGCCATCACCGACCCGTGCCTGCTTCTCACCCGAAGCCGAAAGACGCGATCTGGCGCACATATCCTCTATCCCCCTACCCTTCTTCCTCCATCTCTAAAACCTACTGTGTATAACCATGCCGTTCACCGAAGTCACCCTGAACGACGGCCGCAAGATTCCCGCTATCGGCTTTGGGACATGGAAAGTCCCCAACGACGTCACAGCTGGCGAGGTGGATCAGGCTATCGATATTGGGTTTGACCATATCGATACTGCCCAAAGTACGCCCTTTCCCCTTCCTCCTTCTAACTCCACTACTTTTCAGCGTACTGACGAAAAGCTGTAGTGTACGGCAACGAAACCGAAGTCGGACAAGCCATCAAAGAAAGCGGTCTCTCCCGCAAAGATATCTGGGTAACGACCAAATGGTCTGGCGTAGACAACAAATCCCCCCGTCAATCCATCCTCGAATCCCTCGAAAAACTTGGGCTGGAATACCTCGACCTTTACCTCATCCACCATCCGAGGTTGGCGAAGGGGGATATCAGGGGAACGTGGAAGGAGTTTGAGGGGCTGAAGAAGGAGGGGTTTGTCAAGTCTATTGGGGTTTCCAAGTACGTCTCTCTTTCCTTCCTTCCTCCTTTTCTAAAAGTATGGTGGCTGACTAGGAGCAGCTTTACAAAAGAAGACCTCCAAGAGCTCCTCACTCACGCAACAATCAAACCCGTCGTGAACCAAATCCTCCTCCACCCCTACGTCATCTCCACCCAAGGTCCCCTCCTCTCCTACCTCTCCCAACAAAACATCATCCCTGAAGGCTACTCTTCCCTCATCCCTCTCACCTCCAAGCCTGGTGGGCCGGTGGATAAGCCTGTGGGGGAGATTGCGGAGAGGTTGGGGAAGAAGCCGGAACAGGTGCTTTTGGCTTGGTCGAAAGCTAAGGGGTACGTCCTTCTCCTTCTCTTCATCTTTCCGTCCACCCTCCTGTTAGATACCTGAGCTAACTGAATATGTAGTGCCGTAATCGTGACCACCTCGTCAAAGAAGGAAAGGCTGGAATCATACCTCGACGTAGGCGACATCACCCTCTCCCCCGACGACGTGCACGCCATCGACAAGGCCGGTATCAAGGGTCAGCTCTGGGAAGAGAGGAAGGAGAGATTGGTGAAAGCTAGCAAGTGGGCTGTGCCGGTGTATATCGGATTTTGGGTCTTGTTCAAGGCTTTCAGTGCTTGAGTCTGGGGGAGAGGTGCGGGAGATAGTTTTGAAAGGAAAGTAAAGTATATGGAAAGATGTGGAAGATTGTATTTTCTGTCGATTCTCGTGAGGAGCTCTGAACAGAATAAGAACACAGAACAGGCTATGTATCTCGCTATAACAGACTCACATAGCAGACTCGACTCGCCACGGTAAAACGAGTTTGGTTCAGGCCGATAGGGGACAAGCCCATTTAGAGAAATCACAGCTGCACAAGCTGTATACTCTTCTTCAGGTATCTGCTCATGCTCCAGCACCACAATTGAGTTTCCTCATACCACACCACCTCGACCATCTCTCTGCCTCTGCCATCGGCTTTCCGGGCTCGGCAATGTCCGACGGTCAGACGTGCCTTTTGCCAAGTGGCCGAGTGATGTGATCCGTCGCAACCCATTTATGTTTGCACATCCCCTTATATCCTCTTATATCTTCTTGATTCTATGCATCGCTCGCTCCCATCCCTCCCCTTCATCCTCCCCGTCCCCCATCTCATCCCTCTTCTCCCTCCATCTAATTGAAAAAACAATGCCATTCACCCAAGTCACCCTGAACGACGGCCATACCATCCCCGGCATCGGCTTTGGCACCTGGAAAGTACCCAACGAAGTTACAGCTGCTCAGGTAACGCAAGCGCTGGAAGCGGGGTTTAGGCATATTGATACTGCTGAAAGTACGCTTCCTCCCTCTCCCCTCTCTTCTTTCTCCACCTCCCTTCTTCATCCACTGATCAAAGTGCGTAGTCTACGGCAGCGAAGCCCAAGTCGGCCAAGCCCTCTCCTCCACCCTCTCCACCCTCTCCTCCCCCACCGCTTCCCTCAAACGCAAAGACATTTACATAACAACAAAATGGTTCAACATCTCCAACCGCACCCCCCGTCAATCCCTCCTCCTCTCCCTCCAAAACCTCGGCCTCGACTACGTCGACCTTTACTTGGTGCATCAGCCGTTTTTGGTGAAGGGGGATTTTGAGGGGGTGTGGAGGGAGTTTGAAGGTTTGAAAGAGGAGGGGTTGGCGAGGTCTATTGGGGTTTCAAAGTACGTCTCTGCCCCCTCCTCTTTTCTGTAGTAAAGAGACTGATAAGAGCATAGCTACACAAAGGAACAGCTCGAACAAACCCTCGCCTCAGCCACCACCCCCCCCGCAGTCAACCAAATCCTCCTCCACCCCTACGTCATCTCCAAGCAAGGTCCTCTCCTCGCTTACCTTGCAGAGAAGAATATAGTGGCGGAGGGGTATTCGAGTTTGGTGCCTATTACGAGCAAGAAGGGTGGGCCTTTAGATGGGGTGTTGGAAGAGATTGCGGGGAGGCTTCAAAAGACGCCGGGACAGGTTTTGTTTGGGTGGTCGAAAGCTAAGAGGTATGTTCTTCTCCTCCATCCCTCTGCGCTCTTCCTTGTACTTTGCCTCGTCTCCCTAATCAGTCTGCTGACAAGATGAGATAGGGCTGTCATCGTCACCTCGTCCTCCAAAAAAGACCGGCTAGAATCATACCTCGCTGTCGGGGATATAACGCTCACGGATGAAGATGTTAGGTCTATTGATGAAGCTGGTATCAAGGGGGATATTATTGAAGAGTGAGCTGGAGCAGTGGGCAGGGTGCAGGGTGCCTGCCGTGGAGAGCGAATTTTGGCTATATTGTTACATAGAAGCAAGAAAAGAGAGAATGAATGTATATAGGTCTACAGAAGGCAATGGATAACCGCTTGGGAAAAGCTTACAGTCTTCTGAAAACCTTGCCGAGCAGATTTCTTCCACACTTGTCATCGATCATTCAACGTGGCGGGTATCTCCGCTGACGCTGCTGACACTGGCGCTCATGCTGACGAGCTGCTCTGGCATGATGGCCTTTCCTTTAGTCTTTGTCACTCACAGTGTAGCATGAAATCAAGATATAGTCGTCCTAGTGGACGTGCAGCCAGCCCAAGAGTGACCTTCACCAGCGCCGCCAGCCTTCTCGTCACTCTCAGCCTGGATGGGTGGAGGCAGATGTAAACACACTGCGTTACATAATGCCGTCTTGCAAATAGATATACTTGTATAAGGGTGGGCATCTCAACATCCGCTCTTCTCTTTCCCCCATCTCCCACGTCGCGGCCATGATCCTCAAAACAACTTACATCCCCTGCTCCCCCATCATCACCCCCAACCTCCCCCCAAGCAAAAGGGAGAGCGAGTGGAGCTGAGCTTCAATGTGGCTAAACGAGGGCGTGAAAGAGAGGATTGCGGAAATCGTAAAGGAAGAACGAAGGGCTTGGGGGAAGGTGGGGACTGGATTGGGTGGATTCGAGCGTTGAGTGAAAGTGGGGACAGAGTGAGGTTATGAGACCTGAGATCGGGCATCTCGACTATTCGGTATCACTCTACAGACTATCATAAGCATGTAAGATAATGTACCATGTGGTGAAGTTGTGCTCGCTACGCGAGTACGGTGCCGACATATGACCATAGCTCACGAAGGGCCGACACTCACGACCGTTCTACTCCTCACTTTTGAGTCCTTCACATCGATTACACACCCCCTCAAAGGTCATGCTTACAGCTGTGTAGTTCGGCGTCCCGGCTTTACCCCTTTGTCCTGCCCAAAAGCTGCCTTTGGTGTGAATGATGAATCATCGCTCGGGTTGTCGTATATAAAGTAGCTTCCTCCCCTCCTCCTCTTCTCCCCTATCATATCGACAAGATGCCATTCACCCATATCACCCTCAATGACGGCCGCAAGATGCCCGCTATCGCTTTCGGCACAGCCAAAATCCCCGACGCTGCTTCAAACATCTCCCAGGCCATCAAAGTCGGATTCACTCATATCGACACTGCTCAAAGTAATTGATCCTCTGCCATTCTCCCTTCAAACACTGACCTGGGGTACAGACTACGGTACCGAAACAGATGTCGGCCTCGCCATCAAATCAAGCGATCTCCCCCGCCAGGATCTGTGGATAACCACCAAATGGTCCAACGTAGACGACAAGTCGCCCCGCCAGTCCATCACCGAATCCCTCGAAAACCTCGGCGTGGAGTATGTGGATCTGTACCTCATCCACAGCCCGAGCTTTCAGAAAGGACGCGGCGAGATTCAGGATTGGTGGAAGGAATTTGAAGCGTTGTATGAGGAGGGGCTTGCAAAGTCTATTGGGGTTTCAAAGTGCGTTTCTTTTGCGTTTATCTTGGTGCAGCCTGTGACTGAATGTGATGGAAGTTTTACGAAAGAACAAATGGAAGAACTCCTTCTGCATGCGACTATCAAGCCGGTCGTGAACCAGATCTTCCTCCACCCTTACAATATCGTCACCCAAGGTCCCCTCGTCGCATCCCTTGCCGAACAGAACATTGTAACAGAAGGCTATTCTACCTTGATGCCTCTCACCTCTATGCCCGGTGGACCTGTTGACAAACCCGTCGAAGAGATCGCAAAGAGGCTCGGGAAGACGCCCGAACAGGTCTTGTTGGCTTGGTCCAAAGCCAAGGGGTGCGTTGCGTTCTTCGACTGTACCAATCTTCTCTCTCTTCACGCTGACGAAAATCTAGCGTTGTAATTGTGACAACCTCTTGCAAGAAGGATCGTCTCGAGTCGTACCTTGAAGTCGGCGATATTACGCTGTCGCCTCAAGACGTTGATGCTATCGACGAGGCTGGTAAGACTGGCTTTGTCGGCGTGATGAATTGATTCGAGGGGACTTTACGTACTGTTCATTCAATGCACATGCACTACCTAGACTTTTAAGTTAGACAGACAAAAACAGCTTTGGCCTAAAGATCGAACGAGTCTTTCACGTCGTCCTCCTTTTTCGTTCAGAATAATTTTTGATGTCGCTCCCGCTTCCGCCCAAATAATTCGTCTACTCTCATCCTACGCAGGTAAATATCTCGACAGGATGGTGACATTACGAACCACCACGTCGCCTAAAGACGATACAATCGTACCCGAATCACCCGACAAGACCCTTGAAAAGACTTTTCCACCGTCATCGCCGCTCGAGAAGAAACCTGAGATCCATACTCCTCCCGCCTGCTCCGCGGATTTACCTCCCCTACCAAGAGCCCCCACCTTGTCAACACCCCAGCGCTGGGCCAACGCCCAAATCTAATATGCTAGATCACATTCTCATCGGATATATTCTCCGATTCCCTTCCATCTTTTGCTCTACATTATCACTCTCGGACTCCTCGGACTGCCACCAGCACACAGAGTAATGGCCTTCGTCTTTCTTGCGGAGATCATGTGGTCAAAGTTATTGGAAGTCAATCTTGTGGAGAACGTCACGGAGAGAGTAGAGACGGCTTCTCGCGCCATGGAACAATATGAGTCAATGGGCAGGATGCCGGAAGGAAGACAAGTGGGCCGATACAAATCAGCGTACAAGAGTGGGTACGATCGCTTCTACAGCAAGTCACAGAAGCTAATAAAGTTGACTTGCCCTTGAATTGAACAGATCCTAAACTACCTCCATTCGATCCGATCCCAAAAAACTCAATCTTCACAGCCGACATCTATTCTGCGTTCCACAAGAAGATATACTGCCTGTTTGCAGCTGTTACCGCTTTCGACCACTGTCTTCTATCATACGGGGTTTATAACCGCAGCGGCACTGAAAGGATCATGTCGATCGCCTTGCTAGACGTGTTTCCGGTCGATTTGGCCGGGACGTTTCTCGCTATCCTCGTTGGAATCTACTTGACCATTTGTTGTCCGAGTCCGTTCATTGAGTTGCCGCCGCCCCCCCCCCCCGCACTTGGCGGTACCGATGTATCGCCTGAGCAGAGCTGGAGGTGGTACGATGCGCATATGGGGTGGTGGGGTCGTATCGTCGCCAAAGACATGCTGGTCAAAGAAAGGATCGATGTTTTGGAGCGAGAGGCGAAAGAAGAGGAGCAAGCGGCGCTACAAAGTACGTATCAGCCGTGGATGATTGACATTGTGAGGCGAACTGAGAAGAAACCCTGTAGAAAGTATGCTGCAACTGGAAGTCGATATCTCCAAGGGACGTCAAGCAGAAACCGAGCTTGCAAGATTGACTGCCAAAGAGATAGACTATGAGGTGTTTGATGGGCAGGCTCCTTCCTCAGCACAGTGAGGACAAGGATGCGCACCATTCGGTACACACCTCCCATCGAGCAGCGCTCATCTACTGTCCAACGCATATGATGCCACACATATTGCACACTCGCGATGACCGACGTCGTATACAAAAGACTCTGGCGCAAGATAGTTGACCTATAAGATGCCTCACATGGTTTATAACGTCCGACATTACACTTCAACTACTTTTTTATTTTTTCAGAGAAGAACACAAGGATCAGAAATATACAAGAACCGCCTCTGAAGCCGCCACCTCAATTGTGACCTCCCCGCCCGCCACATCCATCTCTTCCCAGACCTCCTCGCCCTCTGCCTCACAGCTCTCCCCATTAAAACGCTGCCCCCCGAACGTAGGACTCTCCCCGTACGCCACTTCCAAACCCGACCATCTCGCCGTCAGCCTCTTTCCTTTCACCTTCCCCTTCCCCTCCCCACTTTCTCCATCTTCGAGCCCGGTGAGGACGACCGTCTCTGAAGGCCTGCTAGCGGCAGTGGTCGTGTTGGGGTAGTATTGGGTGTTGAGTATCACCGCGCGCAGGAGGGTATCGTTGGAAGCGTGGAAAGTGTAGATGGCGAGATGAGATGTGGACGCGTCGAGCTGGGTCATGTAGGCTGCGTCGTTCAACGCGGAAGCGGCAAAGATGGCTCCTACCCCCAAAGGTCAGCGAATGAGTTTGGGAAAACGAACGAGCAACAAGGGCGCACCATAGTATGGCGAGAAGACTTGATCGCGACCCCACCATGAGTATGGGCTATTGCCGATCGTACCTTCTCGCTCGTTAGCATTATTGGCGAATGAAGAAGAAAAAAAAGACAGACATACCATGGTGAAAGTACAAGCGCTCATACCCGAGTTTGACACTCTGCAAAACATAATCCACAATCCAGAGCCCTGCGCCATACGTCCCCGATATCCCACCCCCACCACAAGTCGCCGAGTTCGTCTCCCCAAAAACGAGCGGCCTCCCCTCTCCCACCTCTTCCGCCGCATCAACCTCCCCTCGGAACGTCCCGACAAACTTCACAATACCCGAATGATTCTGAAGACTCTCCAAGTCCGTAGTCGCACCCCCACACGCCGACTGGGGATACGCGTGGTCTGCCCAAGATCGCACGTATCCCAGCGAACCAGCGGCCTGCTCGAGCGGGCCGAGCTCGGCGATGGAGAATGCTGGAGGCTGGAGGAAGACGCCAGCTTGGATGATGCTGGTTCTGTGGAGAGCTGTGGCGATTTGACGCTGCCAGTCGACTTGGATTTGGGCATCGAGGGAGGGTGACCAGGTTTGGTGGTTGGCGATGGGGTCGTCGTCCGTGTACACTCGAGTGATAATGTCAGCGACGTCGCGTTCAGGACATGCAGATTAATTAGAAGGAGACATACGGTCGGGCTCATTCCCCAGCTCGATAGCGAAAAGGTTGTCCATCCGTTCGACGGCCTCCTGCGCTGCTGCGATGGTGTTGCTGATATCGTTCAAACGCCTGTTCAACCCGATCGTCGCCGGGCCGGAAAGATGCGACGCAAGCTCGAAGAAAGCAGGCCCGTAAGTGAGGTTCGCCGGCGCGTCGGCGGGATCATCGACAGAGTACGTGACGGCAGCGGTTGACGAGGGGTCGTATGTAGCTCGATCCCTGTGTCCATATATCAGCCCGACAGCAGCGGTGTAAAGCATGAAAAAAGAGGTACTGGGTGGTACCGCCAATGCGGATCCTCGTAGCGGCGCCGGCGGCATCTCCGAGGTTCTTCAAGCATTGCGCCGTGTTACCGAGGACTTGTACGTATTCGGGGAATGCAAAGAACTCTATACTGCATACTCGTCAGCTCGACAGTCATGCTGCCTCGCACTTTCAAAATGAAGGCGAAACAGAAAGGTTACACACGATATAGCGACTGGAGCAGCATCCTTGACTTTCGCCTTGTCGCCCGAGGTGACGTCAAATGTCGTCGCATTGGCCGAATCTTGTCGGGGGACTACCGCTGCAGATGCAGCCGAGAGATAGAGAAGTATCGCTGACAGGTCAACTATGGGGGTCATGGTGATAGTCGGCATCTCTACGGACAGCCAGCGAGGCGAGTGGGGTATTTATATTTATACTCGCTTCGATGGACCCGGGCTCGACAATGACGCACATGATCACCAAGACCCTCCTACTTATGAGTAGAATCCGTACCTGCCGTATCTACTCCGCAAATTGCACACTCAAATCAAGGCGTGAATGAAGAAGGGTGAAAGAACGCCGGTGTATCAATCGCCCGGCCATTTGCGCGTCACACGCAAAACATTTTATTTGATGTTGTTGTGTTTTTAGCGTACTTTGGGTAATCATTCTGCAGCAAAGCGAGCCTGTCATATATGGTCTGGTGGCATACCAAAATTACATTCGGGCATCGTTCGAGTGCCAAGGACCGTATAAAGCGCGAGAGATGGACATGCGATAGTCACCGAAGAAGAAGAGTTTTCCCGAGTCCTGTGCCGAGCACGGAAGGCCGAGCCTCTATGGTCTCTTCTATCAATTGCGTCAGAAATATACTTTCCTTTGTGGACTTAGCATCGTCATTTAGAAACCAGAACACATAGCGTGCTGGTCACGTGTAGACTTCAGACAATATGCAGTACGAGTCTACTTATTACAGTGTGCTGTGTGCGTGTGAACGGTGGGGATGACCGCCGCGGGTTGGTCGATGTTTGGTCCGGGGAAAGGAGGTGTGTCTCAGGGAGTGATCGGGCACAGACCTGGACGCACGCTGGTCGTTTTTAGATCTCCATCTTTTCTGTAATGAGCATGGACGATGGGCCATGAAGCCCCCCGCGACGACTTGGACCCGGCCCTCGCCTGTACGTCCCCTCTCCCCCGACCCCGCTGACACCCCCAGTGGGCCCCTTCTTCCTCGGCTTCTGCCTCGAGTCCTTCGGCATGGGCGTCGTCCTCGTCCTCTCCCTCAACTACCTCATCGCCATCCGCACCCGCCCCAGAGCCCCCGCCGACTCGGACCTCAAGTGCTCCGCCTGCCTCCTCTCCTTCTGTCTCTTGTGCAACCTCGCCCAGACCCTCGTCGACCTCGCCCGTGGCTGGAATGTGACACCCCTCTCCTTCCCCCCAAAAGATTACCATGGGCTAACCGGACGCGTTATCCTTAGATGTTTGCTGAAAACTTTATGAACATTCGCGTCGTCACCACGTCCACCCCCCTCTTCTTCATCTCCCTCTTCCTCGGGCTCATCCCCACCACCATCACCCAGCTCTTCCTCCTCCGCCGCTCCATCCTCTTCCTCACCTCCCTCTCCCACCTCTGGCCACGCCTGTCCCATCCCGTCTCCAAGACACTCTTTGCGGCGCTGATGCTAGCGGCGATAGGGACGAGCTTTGTGTCGGGGACGATCACGAGCGTGTTGACGTATCGCGTGGGGATGCTCTGGAGACTTGCGAGTCCGCAGCAAAAAGTCGGACGCTTGTTCCAGACAGTCGAGATGATCTGGCTCGGCACAAGCACCGGCGTGGACGGCTGCATCTCTGGCGTGCTATGCATGGAACTGTGGTGGGCGAGGAGCAAGTTGGGTATCGAAGGCGGGGTCATGCGTGAAGTCGTCACCAGGCTTATCGTACGTCTTTCATCGCGCGTCCTGTGGGGAGGTAGCAACGGTGGGAGGCTGACGCGAGCAGTTGGTCACTTGTAACGGCGGTATGGCCGTAACGGCCCTCCAAGCCATATCCCTCCTCCTCTATCGCTACTCATCCCACAACGCTTTCTGTTACATCCCCATTACCATCGTAAGCGCCCTCCCCCCTCCTTCGTCCTTCCTTCCAGCTTCCTCTCTGCTTCCTCCATCTCTCCGCTTCTCTCCTGCTTATACCACGAAAATGCTGATGAAGGGCAGCTACCAAAAGTATACAACATAACCCTAATCCTCTCCCTCGCCCTCCCCCACTCCTCCGCCCAACGCGCAAACCAACCAAACCACGTCTTCTCCCTCCCCACCATCCTCGACTTTCCCCGTTCGCCTTCCTCCCGCTCCCCACGAAGCCCCAGAAGTCTCCAAAGTCCACATACGCCAAGAGGGCGAGGAGCGTATCCTTATCCGTATGGAAGAGAGGGAAGGGAGGAGGGAAGGAGTCCGGTCTCGCCGAAAGGCCGGTCGAGCTCGACGCTAACTCTAGGCCCTACCCGACGGCGCGCAGGCCCGGCGGTCGGCGTAGGTGTGGCGGAGAGGGAGAGGGGCGATGTCGGGAAAGAGAAAGAGAGATACCCAAGCATGCGTTATGCCTTCACTTCGGGTTCGAGCTTGCCTCTGCCCCCAGCGCTTTCTGGCGCAAGATCCGGCACCGGCGCCGGCTCTGGCTCTGGAGTAGGAATGGGAGGAGGCGGTGGGGGGAGAAGGACGAGTTCGTGGTTTGATTTGTCCTCCCGACTGAGGCGATCTGCCGATTTTGAGGGCGACAGAGGAAGGGGCGAACATGAAGAGTGCGCAGGAGCAGGGGGGGGGAGTGGAATCGGGAGTGGGAGTGGGAGTGCGAGTGGGAGTGGGGAGAGGAGGGGTAGTTCGTGGCATGGTCCCGATATCAACGTACGTCCCCCTCCCCCTCCCCTTCTCTCCCTTTCCCACCCCTTCCTTCATTGTGGAGTCCGAAAAAAAGCTGACAAGCATATATAATCCAGGCTTCAGACGAATACCGCCGTCGTCCAAGTGAACGCAGTATCATCCCCCTCCTCCACTCCCCCGCTTCCGCTTACTCCGCCTCCGCCTCCTACCCCACCCCATCCTCGCTCTCTTCTTTCCCTTCCCCCAACTCTTCTACGACCTTTTCCTACCCGCTTGGGCTTTATGAACCACTCAACCTCGTTCCTCCCGCCTTCAGCGACTCGTCCTCTTCCACTAAACGTAAACGCCTCAAAGAAATGGAAAAAGAAACAGAAAAAGAAAAGGAAAAGGGAAAGGAAGAGGGCCCGGTGGTGTTACCGGACGATCATCCGCTCTACCATCCAGCATTCACGTTACCGAGCGTACAAGTACCGAAGAAGAGTTTGACGGTGGGGAAAGCGCATTCGTTTTCGGATACTGCTTCTTGGGGCGGGGGCGGGGGATCTTCTCTCTCTTTGTCTCCCGGTGCTGGGTCCGGGCTCGGGCTGGGGCTGGGGATGGGGCTGGGGATGGGGATGGGGATGGGAGTAGGAGGGATGGGTGTGGGAGGAGGGATGGTGGATTCGCCGCTGCCCTACGTATACGAGAAAGAAGAAGATTTCTGGGGACCCCATCCCCATCCCCGCCCTCGGCGGCCTTTGAGTGGGCTCGGAGGCTCCGGCAGTGGGGGGGAGGGCAGCGGCTCCGGGGAGGGGACTGGGAGTGGGAGTACGTGGGGTGGGAGTGGGGATCCGTTATTGGCACCTTCGTCTTGGTCTTGGTCTTCCCACTCCAACTCCCACTCCAACTCCCACTCCCACTCCCACTCCCACTCTCATGCCAACTTTCACTCCAACTCAAACTCTCAATCGTGCGACCGCTCTGCCGCCCATCCGAACGCGAACGCGAACGCGAACGCTTGTGACCCGATCGACCCGATCGACCCGATCGAAGAAGGGTACGAGAAACAGCCGTCTTGCGCTTCTTCGTCCTCTTCTATCGCTATCGCTCATGATGACGACGCGCTTGAATCTGGCACCCGACCAAAGGGCCGAGCGGGAGTAGAGGTCGACGGAGAAGACGAAGAAGAAGAAGAAGAAGAAGAAGAAGGAGGTACCCCACTTCCAGCTACCCAACTCTCTCTCATTCCTTCCTCGCCATCCTCGCCATCCTCACCATCCTCGCCATCCTCACCATCCTCGCCATCCTCACCATCCTCTCCATACTCCCCATCCTCTCGATCTTTGCCACTCTCCCGCTCCTCCCACACAATCTCCACCAACACCCCCAACACCTCGAACTGCCCCAAACGTCTTTCGCTTTCGGGCAGAGCAGCTATCATAGCGGAAAAGCGGTCAAAGGAGATTGGAGAGGAGGAAGAAGATGGAGTGGTTTGAGATGCTCTAGCCTCGCTCTTGCTTTCTCGCCCTTTTCAATCTTCATTTTTGGTGGCTCCGAGCTTGAGGGGAAGGTGTAAAGTTTGATAAATTTAGATGAGGGGGGGCATAGACGGGGAAGGGAAAGGGAAAGGGAAGGACTTTTACAACCATTACGACAAAACATCATCATCATCATTTTACCATTACCAAGTAGAAAGTATCCTGCGATTCAGCATTTCTTTCTTTCTCATTATCATTTTACACCGATTTGGTGGTCTTTTGACAAGCCCCCCAAAGCATGAGAGGTGGATGTAGTAGTAGATATACCTATGCATGTACTGTAATATCCGCTCAATTGTACATAGACTCCAGCCGCTTCAAGGTCAATCCCAACACTTTACCTCGGGGCCGTCTGGCAAACAGCTTTCCCAGAAATTTCTTCGTAGCTTGTTTCGTTGTTTGGAGTCAAACAGCTAGCGTATGGTCGGGACAGGTAATGCTGGGTGAGTTTTGTTGAAATTTTGTTGAGCGTTTTATCGTAACGCAGGTGCGCAGAGGAGGGACGGGTGACATGGGGATGTTCACGGCTGCGAGAGGAGGCACTGGGGCGAGTTGTAGTTCGAGGGAGAGGTAGCTATGGGGAGCGGCGGCGGAGAGCGAGGCGTCGAGGGGGGGAATCAGGACGAGTGTGAGGAATGGCCAGAGATGGGGTTGTACAAGCTTGATACAAATAAAGCTGCAAGAAAGATAGAGGAAAGACAAAGGAACTTAAGAGCAAAGAAAAAAACGCGACGCGTCGCGAATCGCGACTGTGCCCGGCGGCCGGCGCATTAACGTTCGTCCTCTGCTCTATGTACGAGTACCCTGGCTCCACCTGTGCTCCACTCCGATGTAATAGCTTCAAGAGATGACAAGCATGCAAGCATCTCTACGGCAACATTGACTCCGCCGACAACTTCCTGCGCCACCGCCCTGTCGCCTCCTTCTTTCCGCGCTGTTCCAGCTGCCTCTCCTGCTCCTGCTTCTCCTCAAGCAAAGTCATCTTCTCCGACAGCTCTCTCACCCTGTCCAACATCGCTGAAAAATACGCACTGTCTCCGAAATCCACCTGGTCCTTCTTTAAACGCTCTCGCAAGCTTTCCCCCAGCTCTTCCAACATGTCTGCCTGTTCTTGCATTTCTGCGCGCGTCCGCTCAGCGTCCTCTTCTGTGTACGCCTTTTCACCGTTATAGGGAACGTGGGGGATGCTGTGGGAAGAAGTGAGGGTGAGGATAGATGTGTCGGCCGAGTATAAGATGTCGAGTCGGCCATCACACTCGAAATGGTCTCTAGCGTCTGGGGGATCATTCGCGTCGGTGGTGGGAAAGTTTGAAGCGGAGCGTTTGCGCTTGAGAGTGGTTGGAGGAGAGGGCGAAGCAGAGCGCTCGCGCTGGGAGGGACTTGCATCGTATGGTGAAGCAGAGCGTTCGCTTTGGATGGGAATGGGGGATGGACGACATGGCTTTCTTTCAGCCGGCAGAGCTTCGACCGATTGGCTACAGCGCAATGAGATGCCCACACTCGCCGAGGAAAATTCGACAGTCCATTCCCTACATTGACATGAGTATCAGCAATATAAAAACCACAGAGAACAAAGCAATACTCACCCAAATCGATAAGGGATGTTCTTTCCGAAAACAAGGTCATCATCTGCGATAAAGAATCGTGCTATACCCCGAATCCAAGCCAAAGCCTCCCCCTCCTCGTTCCTAGGTCTAATCTTCGGTCGGACAGTAAACTGCCCACGAAAGTCGAAAGGGCGCTTCATAATGCGATGGCTAGTCAGGCTGCTTTGGAACGACTCCCTCAAGTATGCTTCGTTCGGAAAGACCTATATCAGCTTTGATGTCAGGGCCGTTTCTAAAAAGACGTCACTCTGCCGGAAAAGGAACTCACAGTGAACCCAGGTAATCTGACCTTCTCCACATCCTTCATCATCGTCGCCACCTCCCTTGGTCGACACCATCTTTCGTGCTTCTTCTCGAAATCCTTCTTGCAGCTGATTCTCTCATTCCGGAGCCTCGCATTGTCCACATGGTCTGGGCAGGCGTAGTGGCACGAGAGGGGATCGAGGGTCGTTTCGCAGCCTGTCCAGGAGCAGGTGGCTGTGAGACTGGGAAGGTCCATGTTATGGGGACTGGGGATCGATGACGGGTACTTGCATAATCGAGCAGCAGTCGAGACACCAACGAACGAGACTTGAACGAGATACACAGCTTGACGGAAGCAAATATGGCATTGTCCTGTGTTTGGTTCGCATTTGAACCCTGGAGCATGGACGACCGAACTTTGAGAGGCTACTTCCCGAAAAGATCCACATGGCTTCAGACTCAAGATCCAGTATCAATCTGTAGGAGATGCACCACGTCTCAAGGGAGCTTGATCACTCTAGGTGGCTCAACTGAACGCTTCAGTCATCGTGACTGAGGTGTGAGAACGCACAGCGATCGGGACACCGAAGGTCGTTTTAATTTTGCGGATTAGCATGGCATCTTTCCTGCTGCATCTTTCGCACTTTTGCCTCCGCTCACCCCTGTAAAACCGGGCTGTGCTTCTGTTTGTCTTCATTTGATTCGGCATTTACCTCCCTCTTCTCAAGTGCGAGAGGGCACATGTCATTGGAGTACACTTGCACGTATTGTAAAGATGCATGACAGCTCTCAAGTCACTAGTTCTCGTCAACTCCTCGTTCAACTCTCGCCTGGTCTGTTGGCACAACTACGTCTGCTGCTCCACGGTGGCCAGTCTCGAATGCTCTACTAGTTCATTCTGTCTCGCTCAAGAACATCCACCCCGTCGGTCAATGCATAGTTACATTACGTCAAATTCCAGTATACATACAAGCACAGTTCATACCTGGCGACCTGACTTTACCTTCCCACCATATTCCTCGTCGCCAAAAGCATATGCAGCTCCACTATCTCATAAGGCTTCTGTCGCTACAAAGGACGGTATATACAATTTTAGATTGGCCTGACCGTCAACAGGCCTGACCGCGGAGGAAAGGGCAGAGCTCATTCCCCAGTCGTGCACGATGGTCTTCCACATTTCATGATTGCAAACGCCATGCTATCCACCACTGTACTGACCATCCATCAGAGTGTCGCAGAAGGCTGCATCTGCAAACAGTCGTCGAGAACCGCCAACAATTCTCTCAAGAGTTCAAAACCGATCGGCCATCGGCTTTCCGTGCTCTATCTCAACATCCACTAAAAAAAGTTCTGTCTCTCTTCCAGAGCTTCCAGCCCCTTCTCTCCCTCACACCGTCCAATGCCGACCATATCCCGACTCGATAACAGCCCATGCCGTAAGGCCATGACTTGTTCTCCACCATAACAGCCGTCTGACGCGTGAAATAGACCGGCAATCAACACCCGAGGTGGGAACCCGAATAAATCCGTCGGCGCCCTCCGCCTGCAGCTCCGGCAGCGATAACCGGTGCGAATTGGATTGAGCGTACTCCCGATGACTCTGTTATGAACTTTTCTTTGAATCGGCAGAGGTCATATATAAGACCGCCTATGGGAGAGAGATGTCATTTCCATACTTGTCTTTTCACGACAACTCTTTTCTATTACTACCACAACAACGATAACACATCCAGCAACCATGGCATCCGAACAAGCTGTATTTGACGCTGAAGTCCGGGAAGTCGAACAATTCCAGAAGGTACGTCCCTCCCCGCTTCTTTGAGAGTCCTGCTGACTATCTCAAAGCAACCCCGCTTCAATAACAAGCTCCGCTCCTACTCTGCCGCCGATGTCGTCTCCAAGAGGGGCACTTTGAAACTTCTATACCCTTCAGACGTACAGGCGCAAAAGTTGCACAAGATCTTGGAGAGTAAGGCGAGGGGAGAAGGTGGTGGATGCACTGCTACCTATGGAGCGTGAGTCGTCCTCTATCGATTGTTTGGTTCCAGCTGACCTTTGACAGTCTCGACCCAGTTCAGATCACACAAATGGCCAAGTACCTCGAGACCGTCTACGTCTCTGGCTGGCAATCATCATCTACCGCCTCCTCCTCCCTCGAACCCGGACCCGATCTTGCCGGTAAGCTCTCCTTGTCCCCTCTTAAAGACTCAGCTAATCCCTTCGCAGACTACCCTTCCAACACTGTCCCCAACAAGGTCGCCCAACTCTTCACCGCCCAACTGTTCCATGACCGCAAACAGCGCTTTTACCGCTCCCAGGCCCGCGCTGCTGGCGAATCCCTCGAGCCTCCTGTCGACTACTTGCGCCCTATCGTTGCTGATGCCGATACCGGGCACGGTGGTAAGTCCTCTCCTACCACCAATTGAGAGCGATCACTGATGAGGCGCAGGTCTGACGGCTGTGATGAAGTTGACAAAGATGATGGTGGAGAGCGGTGCTGCCGGTATTCACATCGAAGACCAAGCCCCGGGTACGAAAAAGTGTGGTCACATGGCTGGTAAAGTACGTCCCTCTCCCCTCTCTTCTCACCTTCCCAAGCTCACATTATACAGGTCCTCGTCCCCATCTCTGAACACATCAATCGTCTCCTCGCCATGCGCCTACAATGCGATATCATGGGCACCACCAACCTCCTCGTCTGCCGAACTGACTCTGAAGCCGCCACCCTCATCACCACCAACATTGACCCCCGGGACCACGCCTTCATCCTCGGTTCCACCAACCCCGACGCCGGCGAGCTCAACGAGCTCATGCTCAAAGCCGAATCTGAGGGCAAGAGCGGTGCGACTTTGCAGGCTATCGAGGATGAGTGGGTTAGCAAGGCGGGTTTGAAGCTTTACCCCGAGGTCCTCGCGGAGGCGCTCGAGAAGCAGGGTGTCGACAAATCCAAGATTGCCGAGTTTGTCTCAAAAGTCAGTGGAACGGCGCACGCTTCCCACTCTGCCACCACCTCCCTTGCCAAGTCCTACGGCCTCACCTCCCTCCCCTTCTGGTCGTGGGACACTCCCCGTTCTAGGGAAGGTTACTACCGATACCAAGGCGGAACGCAATGCGCCATCAACCGAGCTATCGCGTTCGCCCCTTACGCTGACTTGCTTTGGATGGAGACCAAGAGCCCCATCTACAGCCAGGCCAAGGAATTCGCCGATGGTGTGCACAAGGTCCACCCGGGGCAGTGGTTGGCTTACAACTTGTCGCCGTCGTTCAATTGGGAGAAGGCGGGGTTGGGGAAGAAGGAGATGAAGGAGTACGTTTGGGAGCTGGGGAAGCTTGGTTTCGTCTTCCAATTCATTACTGTATGTCTCACCCCTCTTCTGCTTCTTTTGTTGCGAGTACTGATCTATCTTAGCTTGCGGGTCTTCACTCGAACGCCTACATCAACGACCTCTTCGCCAAGTCATTCGCTACCGAAGGCATGAAGGCCTACGTCGAGCTTATTCAAGGACGAGAACGCGAAATTGGATGCGACGTCTTGACTCATCAAAAGGTAAGCTCCCCCTGCCTCTTATCCTTGTTGAGTTGCGCTGACAAAAAGTACAGTGGTCTGGGGCAGACTATGCCGATGCGATGATGATGACCGTCACCGGTGGTGTTTCTTCTACCGCCGCCATGGGCAAGGGTGTCACAGAGTCGCAGTTCGGTGGTGACGACAAGAAGTCTTCACATAAACTCTAGTCGTTTTTCTCTACTGTCTCTCTCTCTCGGGCTCAGTCGTCTTGGATCGGTGTTTCGGTGTATGATTAAGAAGAATATGTCCCATGCGGAAACAAAATAGGATTAGTGATTTATGGCTTTATGAATCGTTTTGCATACGTACCTATACCTCTTTTTGTACTCCTCATCAATTCAGCCGGTTGATCAACCCTCTTCCACCGTGCCCGAACAGCAATAGAGCGGCACTACCGATCAGAACAAGCCAGCCGCCGAGAGTAAGCTGAGGCGAAGGAGACAGCTGGCCTCGGTCAGCCATCGCCACAGCACGGAGAGACTTTAATGTTCACTAACGAAGGGAGGAGGAGTCACGGTTTTGGCTTCCTGTCTTCTTGTCTCATTATTTGCCTCTCGCGTAATGGTGAGCGGGTCGTTCTTTGTATGGTAGTCAAGAACAGCCCTGTTCTGAGGGCTGGCTGGCATCATCAGGCTGCCTCTGTAGGATGATGTAGTAGCATGTCACTTTTGAAGATATTGTCATCATAGCAACAAGCTTAATAAAGTCGCAACATCAAGATCTTATAGATACATCCAAGCTATCTCCATCTCTCTCCCGATGGCTCCAGCACCCATCATTAGTCTCTGAAGCTGATACTGTCATCTTCCAAAGACCGCACAGTAGTTGTCTGCTGCTATAGTTGGTACTCATAACAGAGCCTTCCTGTTCTTTGAGAAATTCAGACAGGTATGCAAATGGACCGACCGCGTTCTTCGCTATTGCGCTCGGGTTACGGTCTATCTGCTGGCGTTTGGACACACTTGGAATACCAAAAGTTGGTACCAACATCTGAGTGTGACTCTTGAGATACTTTGATCTCCGGGTTACCATGTAAACATATATCATTCCCATGTTCTTGCAGAGCGACTCATAGTGGGTCTTGCCTCGAGAGTCGAGTGGGAGCGCTGGTATCTGAATGATAGAGTGCTGGGTGATCTCGGTGAGACGCAGATGGTCTATGAAATGGCGTAAGACACGAAACATAGGTAGCCCAGTGGAGCGTTCTTCCTCGTTTATAACATGGATGAAGAAGCCCACATATGTCGAGACGTAGCCTTCCTCCTCTAATCGTTCGTCACCCTCGAACAGGTAGTCTCCCATGTATCCGCTCATTGTCATTTTGATGAGACTGGGCAGGGTGGATATGGGAAGCTGTTTCATCAACCGCAGTATGATAGGTGGTACCTCGTCGTCCCAGGGTGATAATGGTGGTCTATTTATCCATGAGTGTCGGTGTCCAGTACGCACCCCCTTGAGGCGAGCTATTGGTATCATCTGCCTGGTACCGTCAGGCAACTTGTTGCCCTTCGGAACGTACACTAGAGGGGGAAAGTAGAAGCATATATCTCGAATGTGCTTGAATGCCTCCTCCTTTCTCCCGTTTGATGTCGAAAGCCCGTGTAGGAAGGATTCTACAGTCGCTGGGAGACTGTGCGCGTTCAAATACACTTTCTTGTAAAGCCTGGGGAGGAAGAAGTCGTAACAATACTTGCTGAGTGTTACGACAACTAAGGGCTTGAGGCGAAATAGTTCGTCGAGTATACGGTGGTGCACGGGGTGTAATGCCTCAAGGGTTTCGACCGCTGCTGACGGTTGGCATATGCGGCGGAACACTCCCGCCTCACTCTCGTACGCGCCGGTCTTGATCTCTGCCAGCCAGTAAGCACTTTCGCGAGTACCTAGATTTCCTCTTATGCTCACCTTGTTTCTTCTTTAAGGGCGTCGTATCCGCAGCAGAAGGCGAGTGGCAGCTATGGTTGGAGACATGTAGGGCCTCAAAAGTGGGAGTAACATCGTTTCCCTCCTTATTGTCAATAATGAACGCGAAATCGGCCCTTGTTTTTGTCGTCATCTCCCGACTCAACCCTTGCGCATTGGCGTCAGGTCTATCGCTATGATCGGCACACCTGTCGGGGCTAGGTGTAGACGACAGGGGGGCGGGGGGAGCTGGGAGCATGTCGACCGAGAATCTGTGGGTCATCTGGATAGAAAGGTCTCGCGTCGGATAGTATATAGGCGGAAGATGAAATTAACCTTTATTCCGCAGCAAAGTCGAAGCGGGAAGAATTGCCTATACTGTGGTCGAGGCTTTTGTCCCTGCACCCGACCCTACGGTGACAACAATATCATCCTCCTATCCCCCCCGACAGTACCAAAAGGTCTCGTCCAAATGTATCCATTCTCTACATGTGTCCATTCTCTACATAGAACAACCGCCACTCAGCCCACCCCGTCACTACAGACACCGCGAGTCGAAACAGGAAACCGAGAAAGCGGCGCCAAAGGCATCCGTTTGCAATGATCGAAGAGGCGAAATATGTAGGTGCTGTATTGATGCTGCTCTCTGAGTGGTGTCAGTGAGAACCGAGATCAATCACAATGGAGTCCTGAAACTCACCAATAAGGTCGAGTCACCATGGATCCCGCGCTCACTTCAATCCGCCACGGCTCATCATGCAATTCCACCTTGCTGTTGAACACCGTCTCTTTCCCTCCATACCGCTCCTTCAACTCCCATCTCCACCAATGGGCTGACATGACAGGGGAAAGGTCGTAGGCCCACAGATCCTCAAGCCACTTTTCCATCAAGTACACTTGGGCGGGGTCTCTGTCCCCGAAGTTGTGGATCGTAAGGGTTCTGTGCTGCCAGGAGTTGTCGGCTTCGGTCTGTCTGTATCCGATCCTGATGATGATGGCCCCACTGGGAGCTGCGTGGAGCAGAGACAAGAGGAAGGCGGACAGCATTGACGGCTGATACTGGCTAGGGGGATTCGCAATGATTGTGACCATGACCGGGCGTGAGGTTTTCTGCTTAATGAGATTCGATAGGTCGTCGATATTGCCCGGAACTGAGGCGCAGTAGGTGGGGGTGTTGATCACGACGGATTGCAGGCCGTGCAAAGGAGCGTTGTTGGATAGAATGTCGTCCAACTGGGCCGAATCGCTGATGGTGAGAGTGGAGGACATTGGAGCGCGAGGTGAGTGAGGCTGGATGAGCGCAGTGGATGAGGGAAGTGGATGAGGGAAGTGGATGAGGGAAGTGGATGAGGGAAGTGGATGAGGGAAGTGGATGAGGGAAGTGGATGAGAGAAAGAATGGGGGGTGGGGGATGGGAATGCCCTCTATATACCCCTGTAGGATGCTACCTCCCGTGACTGGGACTCCTTTCGCACCACGTCAAGCAACCTTCTTCTTCCACGTCAAGCAACATTCGTCTTCTACTCAGCCCACCATTCTACGACGTAGTGCTTCGCTACAAAGAGATTCCAGCCTGCATGCATTTCAAGCACGAGACACCAGTAACAACAGCGCGTCGCTATCAACATGATACTCACTGCTGACGCGTCAGCTCTCCTGCAGGGACTAGCGGCGGGGGCGCCGAGGTGAGAAATGAAGTGCCAAGCGCTCTATTCTCGTCCGCCACATTCAGCATTTCTCTCTCGACGCTCTATGCATGCCTCCCTCACTTATCCAACAGGCATATATATGCAGTAGCACCCCTCCCCGTGCTCTCCCCATGCATACAAACAAACAAAACCCCCGTGTGTGGCTGACGACACACCCGGTGGGGATTACAATCAGGTCCGGGGCGGTGCACGAGCCATCATTCCCATCAAAAGTCCAGTCAACCGACATCTGATCCCGTCCCGCTATACTATATATACCTCGCCAACCCCCATCCCCCTCTCTCTTCTTCTTTTATCCCACCTTCCCCTTCCCATACCACAAAGCACACTTGTTATACACAACACAATGCTCTTCGGTACCATCGACACTCTCTCCGGCCTCGCTGCCACCCAAGTCCCTCCTACTCCCGACCATTCTCTCTCCCCTGCTGCCCTTGGCCGAGGTAAAGACACTGATGATACTGACGATGCTGCCTCGCACCCTGCAGGTAGTATCAGCTCTGCCATCTCTGTCGTCGACTCCGACAGCCTTGGGCAGACCCGCTCATCTTCCTTTGGCCCCGTGCCCCGCGCGCGATACGATACTCTCGTCAACGCCCTCCACGCGCCTTACCCGCGCGGCGATTCGCGAGTGCAAGCTATTGCTGCTCATCGACAGCAGCTCCCCAGTGCCGCCGTCGTGAAGGGTCAAGGTCTGTCTGTGGCTGCTTTGTGCGCTGTTCTTGCTGGATCTTCTCTTTCTGCCGCTCTTGGCACTGCCGCTCTTGGCACCACCCGTGACGATGTTTTGCCTACTCGCCACTTGTCTGGTGCTTCACCCGTCACCTTCTCCGCTGCTACTGCTTCTACTTCTGCCCTTGTTGGTACCTGTGAGGTTCATTCCAAGCGCTCTCGAGAGGTACGTCTTCTGCATCCTTCACCCGTACGAGCCCTGGCTGACTCCACTCTAGGCATTCGAACGCGACAATCTCGTCGACGACGACGCCGCTAGATTCTTCAAGCGATCCCGTCTCGTGTCTACTTCTCCCGGTCTCGACGATAACGCGTCCTACCCTCCTGCCCTCTCTTTCTCTCGCTCTCCCTCCCCCGAGCTCGAGGAAGTTCAAACTCCCCCCATGGAGGTTATCGCCCTGCCCGACGTTCAGCTTGAGCGAGGCATCAAGCGTAGTGCTGATGACGTGAGTACTATCTTTTCTCGCTCTCGATTATTGCTGACAATAGCCTACAGTTTGACAATGATGTCGATATCACTATGGAGCCCGAGCCCAAGCAGAAGGTCCAGCGGGTGAGGGAGCGTATCGCCGTACCTCCTAGCCGCGCTCTCAAGCGCACTACGACGACTCTGTTGCTCGCTGCCCCCTCTACTTTTATCGACCGACCCGCTATCGCTGCCTCGGCTCCAACCCTCGCCCCAGCGCCCTTTGTGGCCTCTTGTGCTCCCAAGGCTTGTCCCACTCTCTCCGAGTCGCGCAGGCTTCAGCGCATGACTACAACACTCGGGCAAGACGTCCTCCGCCCCCTCCCCCTCCAGTCGATCGACATGAACAGGCCTAATCGGCCTTCTCGTCGCGCTCTGAAGCGCACCACCTCCGCTTTGTCGCTTGCCACCCCTTCGAAGCCGAGCTCTCAGTTGGCCAAGGCCAAGGCGCTGTGCAAGACACCTCGCCAGGCGTCGGCTGTACCCCGCAAGGTTTCAGAGTCTCGTCCACTCAAAAGCTGCCTCGAGCGGTATGCCCCTCCCACCAAACCACCACCTGCTCTCCACTTCAACAAGCCGGGGCAAACATGGCCTGCTTTCACATTTTTCTGCCCCATCCCCCGTTCTCGCCGCACCCTCTCGGACGAGGAAAAGGAAGCTCGCAAAGCCCGCAGGGAACTCAAGGCCAGTTTGGTCTGCGAGTGGAACCCGGAGACTGGGCTCAAAGAGTTTTTACCTCGCCGAGTGGCTGGGGCGAGACCGGGAGATAGGGCAGAAGAATGTGAAACCCGGCCATGTCTGCCCAAGCGTGTGCTCGAAAGCTGGAGGGAGGTGGAATGGAGCGCTGGAGCGAGGGAAAAAGTTGTTTCAAGAAGAGGACGCCCTGTAATGATGAGGTCCCTCGTCTGGTGCAAGTTTTCCTTTTCGCAATCGCAACGTCAGATCAAGATGATGATGGGTATGGCAGCATGGGAGAGATTTCCCTTGATAGCAAGTAGTTGTAGGTCTTGATAGCTTGATGTATTCTATGATGGTTTCGGCTTGCTTTCGGCGCGGCGGGCATCCGAGCCCCCGAGATCTGCCCGTCTTGCCGACGTGACAAAGAAGGCTGAGGCAGTCTCCCCTCTCTTGCACTCTCCCATGCACGCAGCATGGCCGAGGGATCCCCAATTCCCCATGCATCCCCTCTGATACTCCTCCGAATTCCGATGGATGCATGCTGTGCGGCCAAGAATGCGCAAGCGATAAGATTGCTGCCAGCGTCTGCCTAGCCTCGTTCCTAGCGTCATCCTGTTTGTTGTTTGTCCCCCTGATTTGGCTCCGTGTGATCGAGAAACCGTCCTCGTTCTTTCCTCCCTCTCTCCGCGTTTATCTCCCTTATATACCCACCCCAGTCGCTCGTTTACACCCACACTCATTCACCATGCTCACCTCCATCCCCTCCCTCCTCCCCCTCCTGCCCCTCCTGCCCCTGCTCCCCGCCGCCCTCGCCCAATACACAGCCACCTACTCCCCCGGCTCCCTCCCCGATAGCTCCGAAGAAGGCCAGTACGGCACAAACGCCTGCGGGGACGGTTCGGCGTAAGACAGTAAATGCCAGAATGTGTATGTGAATGGGGTGGACGATTTCTGTCTTTGGGGGCCGCCCGAGGCGGGGAGTACGATTGGGGATGTGGAGGAGATTGTTGTCTCGTAAGCCACCTTCTTCTTCTTCTTCTTCTTCTCTTTTGAAGGCAGGGAGCTGATGAAGGGGGTAGGTACTGCCTCAAATCAGGTTACGGTACCAGGCTCATACCCGAAGGAACTCTGACCGGGGCGCACTTTGTGAAAGTGCAGAGCGACAAAGTCTCGTATGTCCAGGTTACCGGTAAAGGCGACGTGCGTCCATCCCTTCGAGTTCAAAGTGTTAGGGTGCAAGAAGCTAACGGAAGGGGGGGTGGGTAGTTGACGAAGCTGTTGATCGCAGACGGCGATGAGGGCGGTGAACTTGACGTACGTCCCCCTCTCCCTTTCCCTCTCTTCTTCTTTTGTGCTGACGTTTTCGTTAGCCTCACTGTGAGCGCCCACCGATCTCCCATATGCAGCTGTACTGACCAAACAAACAGCCTGGACCGGACTCGGCAACCCCCAAGGCGGGCTCGTGTTTACAAACGCCTTCTCTGGTTCTTATGAACAGACGCATGAGTGGACTAGCTTCATGTCTTCTGGTAAGGCCTCATACTTTCTCTTTTTCTCTCTCTCTCGATCTAGGGTAAAAGGCTAATGGTGATGGGTAGATGAATTCTGTATTCGAGCTTGTCAGGATGGCGATAGTAAGTCAAACGCTGACTGAGAGCGCAAAAGCCCAAGCAAGGCAAGATGGGGAACTGACGAAAAGCGATAGATGCTGCTTCATACTGCCAACACATCTACGACCTCCGTACGTCCCCTTCCCCCTTCCCCTTCCCCCTCCCTTCGTCTTCTCCTCCCCCGCTCTCAAGCTAACCTCCATGCCCAGTCGGCTGCGGATTTACAATCCCCGGCTCCACCTCCGACGGCTTCGACGCCTGCCTCGCCCCGCCCACAGACGAAGCCCCGGGCGTATACGACGGTACGACCTTCTACCAAGGGGACGCTACGACGCCTGCGGCGCATGCGGCCGCGGAGACGTCAGAGTGTCAGTATTATTCGTCTGTGGGCGGAAATGGAGTTTGGAATAAGCGCTCAGAGGGAGGGGAGGGGGAGGAGAAGAGGGAGGAGATGGTGGTTAGTGTGACGTCGACTGTGACGGGCAAAGCGACGACGACGACAGTCTTCTCTACTGCGCCTGCTACCGCTTCTGCCACTGCTTCGACTACCCCAACAGCCCTCAAAGCCAACGCTTCCTCCTCCTCCTCCTCCTCCTCTTCCTCCTCGTTGTCGGGTGCGGGCCCCCGCGCATTCGTGGTCGGGCCGGTGATGATGGGCGGTTTGGGGTTGGTGGGTTTGATGAGTCTCTTGCTCTAATCTCCCACCCTCACCCCTTCTCTTTCCCCCACTCATACCCAAGCCTTGAGATCTCGGGGGAGATAAGCATTTCGGGGGTTGTGTACAAACCTAATTCCCCTTTCGCTTCCTGATCATGCCTTTTTTCCTTACTATGCTGCTGCCATACTATGCCATACGATACTCTTACTATACTACAAACGGACAATGAACCCCATGCAAACGAAAGATACATAAGAAGCAAGAAGCATGGTGTTTGTGGATTGTGGTGGCAAAGTGACCCCGCGGTGATCCGCCAAAACACTCCCAAAGTCGGAATCATCCACTTCTCCTCTTTCTTCTCTTTCTCCATTCTTCTTCCACCAAGGGGTGTACTCTGCCCCCCTCCCTCCGACAACCCTGGAAGACAAGACAACAACCAGACTGGCGCCATGTCAAAACCCAAACCAGGCCTCGGCAAAGGTCTCGTCCGCACCCTCTCTTCCGCCCAACATCCCTCCCCCTCGCCGTCCTTCTCCCTCTCCCCCTCGGGGGTGCTTGCTTTGAATGTCAGTGTGAGCCCTGGGCTCTTGGGGAATGGGAGTGGGAGTGGGAGTGGAGGGGGAGGAGGAGGAGGGGGTGGGGGTGGGGGTGGGTATGGGTATGGGACGCCGTCTTTGGTTTATAACGTCGGCTGGGGGCGGTCTGCTTCTGCCTCCAGCTCTGGGGTCAGGGGAGGAGGCGGGATGGGCATGGGCATGGGTGAGCAGGTACCCAGCTGGTCCTGGGATTCAAGCGATATTGTCCTTGCCCACCACTCCCACTCCCACTCGGCGCGCGCAATCCGTCACCCACCCTCCCCTTCGACGACGACGACTCCCCGCACAAGGTCGACCATGTTCACCTCCTCTGTCGTCTTGTACCCGGCTTCCTCAGCGAGTAGTGAAAGTGGGAGTGGGAGGGGGAGGGGGACGAGGTATCTCTCGACGGCAGCTTTACCGCTGGGAAGCAGTTCTGGCTCGAACGGCGCGCAGAGTCAGGGGATGTATCTCTTCCCAGACCGGGGGGTGTACACCTCTTCCACCGCCCAAGCGAGCCTCGAAGCCCTTCTTCAAGCATTCCAACTCTCCCCCTCCTCCTCCTCCTCCTCTTCATCATCATCATCGTCGTCGTCGTCGTCTTCAGCACCACCAACAAACATGATCCCCCGCGCCCCCTCCCCCCGCACAACCCACCAATCCCTCAAACCCCGCACTTCCAACCCCATCTCCCACTCTTCCAGCCCCTCCACCAGCGCGTCCTACTCGTCTGGCACGAGGGCAGGGTGGAAGGATGTACCGCCGATGATGGCGGGGGAGGATGTACCGCCAGCGGCGTATGGGGCGACATTGATCTTTCATCTGGGCGCTTCCGGCTCGCCTAAAGAACGGCTCCCTCCTAAACCTTCTTCCTCCTCTCCCCCACCCCGCCCCCCAGTCCCACCAAGACAACGCTCCTTCCCCCTCCCTCCCACGCCATCGCCGACATCAGCGCAACTCCAATCATCCTCCGTCTCCGTCGGCGAAGACGCCTACTTTACCCGAGTCGACGGGATGTGCATTGCCGATGGTGTTGGTGCTTGGGCGGCGAGTGGGAGGGGGGGAGCGGATGCGGGGAGGTGGAGTCGGTTGTTGACGCATTTCTGTGAGAGGGAAGTGGAGGGGTGGACGGAAGGTTCGGACGTGTATTTGAAGGAGAGGAAGGGGAAGGATGGGACTGTAGGGGAGAAGGAGGGTGTAGCGGAGGAGAGGGAGAGGAGGCCGTTGGACCCGGTGGAGATTATGCAGAGGGGATATGAAAAGTGTTTATCGTGTGCCATCTCTGAAGTAAGTCCCCTCATCACCTCCCCTCTTCCCACGCTTCCCTCTTTTCCCTTCCTTGTGAAGGGCAGGAGCTGACGGTCGAGTAGGGTGTCAACGGGTCCTCAACATGCCTGATAGCGCTCCTCAAAAACTCGACCCTGCACATAGCCAACCTCGGGGACTGCTGCCTGCTGTTGATCAGAGGTGACAAGGTGGTATTCCGGACCGAAGAGATGCAGCACGCATTCAACTTTCCTCATCAAGTGAGTCCCATTCCCATCCCTTCCCTACCTCCCCTCCCCACCTTCTTTCGAAGTGCATGAAGAAAGGACCGAAGGACTGATTAGAGGGATAGGTCGGCACGCATAGTAGGGATGAACCGATGAAGGACGCTATGCGGTTTGACGTACCCGTCAAGAAGGGTGATATCGTCATCGTCGGGAGTGATGGGCTTATGGACAATATGGTTCGTCTCTTTTCCCCATCTATTCTGCCTGCCATTGCGACTTCAAGGACTGACGGATGGGACGTAGTTTGACGAAGACATCCTCGAAACCATCTCCCAATTCACCTCCCCTTCGACACCCCAACCAACCACCTTCTCCCCCCAATCAGCAGCCTCAGCCCTCTGCACCCGCGCCCGCCAAATATCCCAACAAACATCAACCACCACGCCGTTCATGTGCGCTGCTATAGAAGAGGGGATTGATTTTGTGGGAGGGAAGAAGGATGATATCAGTGTTGTTGTCGGGGTTGTTGGGGATCGGGAGATGGGTCAGGGAGAGGGTGAGGGAGGGGGGGTGGAGATGGAGGAGGAGGAGGAGGAGGAGGTTAGAGGGAAGAGGGAAGGAGGGTTGGCGCTGCATATGTCGTAGAACCTGGCGTTGGTGAGAAGTCTTGATGGTCTGGGAGAGGGAGAGAGATGGGAAAGAAATAGAGATGATACAGAATTGTAGCCGTTTAATGTGGTTGTACCCCTCGAAATGTCCATATGCCCCTTCATGTATGTTGTTTACGCTTCGCATTGGGTATCGCTTCGCAGTAGGCAGATGGCTGACGGTGCGATTTGCATCCAGCCCCTTGCAGTCTGCAAGTCTGCGTACTATGCAATTTGACGAGCATTGGACCTTTCTGTTGCGGGGCATACTCGGACTGTACATTGACAAGTCAGAACTATCGAGGGTTGCATCTTCTACTTGCTATAAACAACAACTCTATGGGTATATATCGCTAAAAATGCTATCAGGCTATAAACATCTACAAAAGTATATGGGTACGTATCTATGGAACTACAAGAGCTATCAACCATGTATACTACCAGCTAAGAGGGTATCAACTATGGTCTATGTGCTATGGTGAGTATTTACTACAATGCCTATTCGACGATACAAGTACCTATGATACTACCGGAAGAAAGAGACAACAAGACACCGAGAGAGACGACGACCACGGTGCCGGACGATGAATGAGTGAGAACAGCCACAACGAATGAAAAGAGAGAGAGAAGAAGAACAGATCCTCGGAACAAGAACGGTGGACTCTTCAACATGCGGGAGGGTTGGTGATGCGGACTACAAGACAGTAAAGTGATAACATCAGGCTTGCTATCGTCAGCGGTGCCCCTCCAGGGATAGGGCAGACATACACAACAGAAGAAAGCACCAGCGATGGCCGAGACCGATGACAAATGATGATGTTGGGTGAATGAAAATTGTCGAGGGTCGGCATCGTTGAGTAAAGGCAACGTTTGAGCTAGTATCTGGTACTTTCCATCAGCTACGTCTCGCCGGAAGATAGAAACACTTACGAGAACAGTCAGCTTGGGCTACATATGAGAGAAGGAAGGACGCAGTGTTTGCCGTTTGTGTTGCACGGGAAGAGAGGGGTAGTGGTGGGGCATGATGACTGTAGTAATGCCAGCGTCGGCGATAGGCGTCAAGGAGCATGATGATGACGAGGTTTTGAGGTCCTATGGCTGAATGTCAGCGATGAGACATTGCTAAAGACGATAAAGACTCACGGTGACGAGGTCCAAGATGGGGCAAGCAAGCTGACTACAGCGGATCGAGGCAATTAGAAGAAACGGTTTTGGCAACCACCCCAAGTGACCACCTTCTTTTCTCTGGGGACGACCGTCAACTTGCTAAGATTGGCAATGACATCGTCAAGAGACAACGTCTCCATTCTATGGGCCTCGTCAGCGCTCAGTATAGTGGGAAGAAACCGAGAAGACTTACACCATAGCCGCCAGCTCGGCAGTCTCAGCCGTCCGGGCTGCAAACTCACTCTGCCCCTCGCTCCAGGGCTCCACATCCTTGAAACTCTCCAGTACGGGCTCGGGCTCGGCACCAGGCACTCGGCGAGGCAAAAACTCTTTGAGGCCAGTCTCGGGGTTCCGCTCGCAGAGCAAACTGGCTTTGAGATCCCTACGGGCTTTGCGAGCTTCCTTTTCCTCGTCCGAGAGGGTGCGGCGAGAACGGGGGATGGGGCAGAAAAATGTGAAAGCAGGCCATGTTTGCCCCGGCTTGTTGAAGTGGAGAGCAGGTGGTGGTTTGGTGGGAGGGGCATACCGCTCGAGGCAGCTTTTGAGTGGACGAGACTCTGAAACCTTGCGGGGTACAGCCGACGCCTGGCGAGGTGTCTTGCACAGCGCCTTGGCCTTGGCCAACTGAGAGCTCGGCTTCGAAGGGGTGGCAAGCGACAAAGCGGAGGTGGTGCGCTTCAGAGCGCGACGAGAAGGCCGATTAGGCCTGTTCATGTCGATCGACTGGAGGGGGAGGGGGCGGAGGACGTCTTGCCCGAGTGTTGTAGTCATGCGCTGAAGCCTGCGCGACTCGGAGAGAGTGGGACAAGCCTTGGGAGCACAAGAGGCCACAAAGGGCGCTGGGGCGAGGGTTGGAGCCGAGGCAGCGATAGCGGGTCGGTCGATAAAAGTAGAGGGGGCAGCGAGCAACAGAGTCGTCGTAGTGCGCTTGAGAGCGCGGCTAGGAGGTACGGCGATACGCTCCCTCACCCGCTGGACCTTCTGCTTGGGCTCGGGCTCCATAGTGATATCGACATCATTGTCAAACTGTAGGCTATTGTCAGCAATAATCGAGAGCGAGAAAAGATAGTACTCACGTCATCAGCACTACGCTTGATGCCTCGCTCAAGCTGAACGTCGGGCAGGGCGATAACCTCCATGGGGGGAGTTTGAACTTCCTCGAGCTCGGGGGAGGGAGAGCGAGAGAAAGAGAGGGCAGGAGGGTAGGACGCGTTATCGTCGAGACCGGGAGAAGTAGACACGAGACGGGATCGCTTGAAGAATCTAGCGGCGTCGTCGTCGACGAGATTGTCGCGTTCGAATGCCTAGAGTGGAGTCAGCCAGGGCTCGTACGGGTGAAGGATGCAGAAGACGTACCTCTCGAGAGCGCTTGGAATGAACCTCACAGGTACCAACAAGGGCAGAAGTAGAAGCAGTAGCAGCGGAGAAGGTGACGGGTGAAGCACCAGACAAGTGGCGAGTAGGCAAAACATCGTCACGGGTGGTGCCAAGAGCGGCAGTGCCAAGAGCGGCAGAAAGAGAAGATCCAGCAAGAACAGCGCACAAAGCAGCCACAGACAGACCTTGACCCTTCACGACGGCGGCACTGGGGAGCTGCTGTCGATGAGCAGCAATAGCTTGCACTCGCGAATCGCCGCGCGGGTAAGGCGCGTGGAGGGCGTTGACGAGGGCATCGTATCGCGCACGCGGCACGGGGCCAAAGGAGGATGAGCGGGTCTGGCCTGGGCTTTCGGAGTCGACGACAGAGACGGCAGAGCTGATACTACCTGCAGGGTGCGAGGCAGCAACGTCAGTACCATCAGCGTCTTTACCTTGGCCAAGGGCAGCGGGGGAGAGAGAATGGGCGGGGGCAGCGAGGCCGGCGAGAGAGTCGATGGTACCGAAGAGCATTGTGTTGTGTATAATAATAACAAGTGTGCTTTGTGGTATGGGGAGGGGAAGGTGGGATAGAAGAAAAAGAGAGAGGGGGATGGGAATTGGCGAGGTATATATAGTTATAGCGGGACGGGATCAGATGTCGGTTGACTGGACTTTTGATGGGAATGATGGCTCGTGCACCGCCCCGGACCTGATTGTCATCCCCACCAGGTGTGTCGTCAGCCACACACGGGGGTTTTGTTTGTTTGTATGCATGGGGAGAGCACGGGGATGGGTGCTCAGTGGATGGCATACTGCATATATATGCCTGTTGGATACGTGAGGGAGGCATGCATAGAGCGTCGAGAGAGAAATGCTGAATGTGGCGGACGACAATAGAGCGCTTGGCACTTCGTTTCTCACCTCGGCGCCCTCGCCGCTAGTCCCTGCAGGAGAGCTGACGCGTCAGCAGTGAGTATCATGTTGATAGCGACGCGCTGTTGTTACTGGTGTCTCGTGCTTGAAATGCATGCAGGCTGGAATCTCTTTGTAGCGAAGCACTACGTCGTAGAATGGTGGGCTGAGTAGAAGACGAATGTTGCTTGACGTGGAAGAAGAAGGTTGCTGACGTGGTGCGAAAGGAGTCCCAGTCACGGGAGGTACTATGCAAGCCAGCATCCTACAGGGGTATATAGAGGGCATTCCCATCCCCCACCCCCCTTTCTTTCCCTCATCCACTTCCCTCATCCACTTCCCTCATCCACTTCCCTCATCCACT